ATTACAGAACACAACAAAACACGAGGGCTAGGACAGGTGACAGTCAACCATACTGAAAAAATATATGTATATATTTATCTTGCATTTCCATAAGTATTGCAAAGTATTAAGTCCTGTATCAGGAGAAAAAAAATAAAATAAAAAAAATGTGAACAGGCAAAGAACCCCATTTGCCCGCTCAGGTGGGGCAGATTCCCACAAATCACTGTTAGTCCTCTCTGGCAATGAAACATTCCCACCGTTCCCAAAGTTCCACTCCTTTCTCCTTCTTAAGTCGTATTGCAAATGTCAGCATCTCCATGTCGTGGATCATATTTATAATATTAACCAGGAGTTTCAATGAGGGAGGTCCTGGCTGGAGCCAACACTTAGTGATCGCCTTCTTGCTGGCGACCAAGACTATCTTCAGCAGGTATGTATCCCCTTTGCTCAGTCCTTCAGGAAGTATTCCAAGATACAGACCAGTGAATGACAAGTCCAAATTTATACCCATAACTTTATATATTAGACTATGTACATCCTTCCAAAAAGTCTGTAACTCCGGACAATCCCAGAAAACATGATAGTGGCCTACCGCAACCCCTCCGCACCCCCTCCAGCACGGAAGCTGTGACCCATCCATCTGAGATCTCTGCTTTGGTGTGATAAAAAATCGAGCTAGATTCTTCCAGGTGAAGTCGCGCCATATCAAAGAATTTGTGGTCGACAGGGAGCCCTTCCAAATTTGCATTTATGCCTCTGACGTAATTATCACATCCGCTTCTTTTTCCCATCGCTCTTTTATATAGTCAGTTGAGTTTTTATTCATGGATCTTAAATTTCTATAACATTTGCCAATAATTCCTCTTATAGGTTTACCAGCATATGAATCAATAAAAAGTTGTATTATTCCTGGAGTTGTCTCCAAGTCAGAAATTCTCATTTCCTTTCTTAGGAAACTACGGACCTGCAAGTAACGGTAAAAGTCCTCCTTACCCACCTCATAGGTCCGGCATAACTCCTCAAATTTCAGTAATACCCCGTCTTTAACTATAGTGCAGAATGCGGTGATTCCCTGTCTTACCCACCTTCTATATTTATGATCTATCGATGCCGGGAGAAAATGCGGGTGGTATGCAGGCCAGCCCAACACCCCTATCTGTCTGTAAAGATTAAACTTTCTGACCAACCCTGCCCATACCTTCAGGGAGAAGCTCAGGCACAGGTTTTGCAACGGATATACCTGGGGCAACCCGTCTAGACAGCCCAATACTGACTGTATAGGGAAGTTCAGCAAGGAGAGTTCAATGTCTTTCCATTTAGCCTCATAGGCCGGGCTACACCAGCGTACCAAGGGTCCACACTGGGCCGCCATGTAATAATCCGCCAGGTGAGGCAAACCCATACCCCCTCTATCCCTAGGCAGCTGCAGGGTCAGGTATCTCACTCTTGGCCTTTTATTGTTCCAAATAAACCTTGAGAGATGTTTATCCCATTCCCTAAATTGTTTTACTGGGACCTCCACCGGGAGTGCTTGAAATATATACAGTAGTCTCGGAAGGACATTTATCTTTATTGCTCGGATTCTGTTACCAATGTCAAGGGGAAGCAGGCTCCACCTGGCCAGATCCTCATATATTTTCTTATTTATGCATTTATAATTAACATCATATAATTGAGCTAAATCTTTTGTTAATATGATCCCCAAGTATTCCACTTGTAATTGATTCCAATTAAATTGGTAACTATTCATTAACTGTTTCGATGGCCTAAAATTGAAGGTCAAAATCTTTGTTTTTTGTATATTGAGTTTGCCGTATGATTCCAGAATATCCATGAGCTCTGGAGTACCACATTCAGGGTTTTTAATTATTACCAAGAGATCATCTGCATATAGGCATATTTTGCTCTCCACACTCCCTATCGTCACCCCCTCCAAACCAGACTCCTCCCTAACAACCTGAGCCAGTGGTTCAATAAAAAGATTAAAAAGTAATGGACTTAAGGGGCATCCCTGTCTACATCCTCATTGTAGTATCATTTCATTCGAGAGGCTTCCATTTTATTCTTGCTTTTGGCAAAGAATATATCGTTTTTATGCAGTGAATGAATCTCTCACCAAATCCGAATCTCTTCATTACCTCAAACAAAAATTCCCACCCCACAGTATCATACGCCTTCTCGGCATCTAAACTAAAAAGGACTGCACTTGATTTTTCTCTGATTATGTGGTCAATGACATGAATGGCCCTCCTTATACAATCATGTGTTTGTCTATTACCAATAAAACCTGTCTGATCCTCGTCTATTATTGCAGCATATAGTTTATAGTCTATATTTAACACGCTAATTGGTCTATATCCTTTCGGGTCTGTTCTGTCCTTCCCCACCTTTGGTATAACTGATATAAAAGCCTCTTGCCATGATGGTGGGAGAGCACCCCCTCCCAAAGTGTAATTAAAGGATGCCTTCAACAGTGGAATAACCGATTCCTTCATAGCCTTATACCACTCAGGGGGGAACCCATCACAGCCTGGTGATTTACCGGTCATAAGGTGTGATATCCCCCAGTCAACTTCCCCCGCTGATATTTCCGCCATTAACTTGTCATTTTGTTCTTTTCCTAATGATGGAAGATCCAATGAGTTAAGAAAATTTTGAATTATTTGGTTATCTATTTTGTCTGGCTGTGTGTACAGAGATTCATAATACCTTTCAAATACGTTCTGAATTTCATTAAGTTTATTCGTTATGTTGTTAGCCAAACATGCCACAATAAAATGAATCAAAATGTCCCCAAAGCATCGGGGGACTGACATAGCGGCCACCGCGGGATTCAGGTAGATTCCAGACGAGATGCGCATCGCAGCGGCTCTTCATGCACGGCCGGCCCAAGGCAATATAAGGCCTTAGATAGAACCCTCCTGTCCTACTATGAGCCTCAGCATCACTAACGTTTTTAAATATCGATAAAGTCAATATGTGAGAGGGAGACCAGGTTTATTGGCTGAGTTTAATATCAATCACTGATTATTACTTATTTGCTGTGATGTATTTGTGAACAAACTCAACTCAAACACAAAGATTATGCCATATTATAGCCATGGTCACACAACAATAAAACTATCAAGACAATTCTTTAAACTTTCGCAAAGTAAACTTCCTAATTAAATCCTAAATGTACAATTATTTTCTCAGTTGAATGCATTAAATAAAATTTAATAACATAATTCTCTATAAATGGATGGTACAGATTTAGATCAATAGTCTGTGTTACAATTAAACCATGTTTAGGGGCCCCTGAATGTCTGGAGCCCCCTGAATGGCCCCTACCAGCAGGTACTGAGTTTTCTTTGTCTTGATATCCCAGTCTTGCATGTCTAGATCTCAGAGGTGCTCAAAACATTATTTAGAGTTAACCCCTGTAGCTCTTTTGATCTACAAATGAAGATCAAGATAAGTGCCAGAGAGCAGAACGTTGTAAAACTAATCTACAAAGTAAATTACAAACCCATTTAGATATCTACAAAGATAAACTCAAAATGTTTAATTTTGAACTGAGAAATGCAGGAGACTTTTTTTTTTCCAAATGTTATTTCTACCTCTATCAACAACTCTCATGCTCTGTTCTCGATGGTTGACAAATTGACAAATCTGTAAATTTTTCTCCTTTTGAGGCCTGTGATAAACTTACCACCTTTTTCATAAATAAAACGGTGAAAATAAGGGAGACAGTAAACTCCTCTGTGTCTGCTGTTAGGAAACAATTAACCATGTTTTCCCCTAATCAGAACTTACATATGATGACCCACTTTAACCTGGTCAGTCAGAAAGATTTGAGTTACACTTTACATCATCTACCTGTTCCCTGGACATCATACCTACGAGTTTCTTATTAAAGGTCTCAGATGTGTTTGCTCCTTTTACAAATAATTAATAAGTCACTCTCCTCTGGAGTCTTTCCTCAGGCTTTAAAGACTGCGGTAGTTAAATCACTTCTCAAAAAGCGTAATCTAGACTCATCAATTTTATCCAAAATCAAACTTTCCATTTTTTTACTAAAATATTAGAACAAAATTTTTTTCAACAGATAAATGGCTTTCTAGCCCTAATGTCCATCAATCAGGCTTCAGTCAACATTACAGCACTGAAACTGCTCTTGTCAAAGTTTTCAATGACCTCCAACTACACACTGACCGCAATGAAATGTCAATATTACCTGGTGGTGTTTCTTTCCTCTTTTTTTATTTTAGTTTGTATTTTAAAATTTTTCCTTGTTTCCAATGGTGCTAAACAATTTATCTTATCCAGGAACATATTTAATTGGGAGAGAGATGAAAATGACAATGACTGTTTTGAGTTCTTTGTAGTGATGAAAAAAGACTTGGTTGTGTCAGTCATACAAATATGATAACTAAAGGCATTTTAACTTTGTACTTGAAAAAAAAGGAGTAACTGTAAAGAAAGGTTCCTATATTGTTTTAGACTATAGGTTGCTAGCTTACTGTAGTTGGTACTTTATCTGTGGGAAATAGTGTGTGAAAAAAAAACAGTAACCACTTTTACTATTGCATACTGTATGCTTTACGAGCATTGCACATTCCAGGCTGTAATAATCATGTCTATTATCTATATACGCTTTTTTCCCGCCCCTCCAGAACAGTTCATACAGCAAATGTAGCACCCATTTGAAATTTTTTACACTAGAAAATTTCAGCTGATAATTCAACAAAAGAAGCCAAAGTTCCCCATAAAAAGTTTTTGTTTTGTTTTCAGCATACGACACAAGAAACTGAAAAAGCCCACTTTCTGTTGAGACTCATTTCTAAAATGTTGGTCCTTATGTTGATACTTTTAACAAACGTCTCCTTACGGATGTGCCGACTAGAAAGGAACACCGTTCAGCAGGGTCGCTGAATCCGCTGTAACACCGGTGTTGTACCGAGAGAGGCGCGTTCGACCCTCCTGTCGAACGCGCAGGCGCAGTCCTCGCTGCAGTTCACTGCGTTTCCGTAGCCAGCTCGCTACCCGCTGAGCGCTGGCTGGTGAGGCAGTTCGCCGAAGCGGTTGATCCCTATGAAATAACGTCAAAGCTTGCCTCCTGAATGGCGGATTAACACGGCTATCGGAAGGGACGCTCTAAATCAATGCTTGTGACTCGGGCGGTTTTTGGGAGTGCGTTGCCAACACCCTCCGTAACATGTGAGATGTGCAGAGAAACATATTAACTGTGCGTTATTTCGGCTAACTAGCTAGCAGCTTTCCCCCCCACCCCCCATGTCTCAATCCAATTAATGGTAGCTCGCTCGGGGCTGTTTTCTTCAAGCGTCGCGTCTGTAACGGGGGGTGGGAAATGAAGAAGTTTAACATCAGGAAGGTGCTGGACGGCTTGACAGCGGCGTCTTCCTCCTCCTCCTCCTCCTCCTCCTCAGCAACTGCTCAGCCGGGTACTCCCAGGGAAAACGATCTCGTCCAGGAGACTCTCCAGTCGGAACATTTCCAGCTGTGCAAGGTATGTCTCCCGCTGGCGTTGACGGGACTGTATGCGTCCGATGACGGCGGCGTGGCCAGACGTGAGCGTCGTTTTCGTCTGTGTCGGCGCGGCTCAGTGGGTGGAAAACAAAGTGTACAAACGGCATCAAAATCGCCAGGTTCAGTGTGGGCTGTGGTGACCTTAATGGGGGGAATCAATTGCATTCATTGACTGAGTTGTATCCAGCACACTTAGCCTTAAATCACTTTCCCTCCTCTGTTTAATCATTGTAAATGAGCTCCCCAGTGTTCTACTGCACTACTTTAGGGTACAATGTTCACACTGGCCGCCTGTGGATTTGCTGCAAGAGCTCTCCTCACTGTTAAATCCCCTCACAGCATAATAATTCAACAGGCTTTTGTGTTGTGATGAACGCATTTTGTTTTTCAGCTGCACTTGGTATGAACTGGTGTCTTGTTTGCCAAAGAAAGTAAAACTCCCACTGTAGTGAATGCATGTCTTATTTGCTAATCCCACGTTCAGAAGAATGTCTGGTGCATTTTAACAAAGAAACAGCAGTGACCATTGTTTGCGTTTTCGGTGCATCACGAGGGGGATCTGAGACTTTCACACACTGCCTTTGCAAATTTATGTATGTTTCACATTTTGTCATTTCAAACTCATTTTATTTATACTAGGCTGACGCAGAATGTCCCACAGTTGTCAAAATGTTACTTTTTCTCAACTTCACGTCCTTTTGCTGCAGTTACAGCTGCAAAAGTGGTTTATTTTTCACTACGTTTGCAGAAATTAGAAACCGAAGCGTTTCCCCATTCTCGTTTGGAAATGAACTCGCTCAGATTGGATGGAAAGTGACTGTAAACATCAGTTTCTCAATTGGATTTGAATATGGACTTGCAAATAGTTTACAGGGTTTCCCCCAGAAGACTTGCCCAGCCCAGTGCTCAATTTGAAAATATAATTTGATAGTTAGCATTTCTGGAAGACTGAAAGATTAATACCGAAGCGTCAACTAAAAAGTCTGAAAAAAAAGGTTAATCATAAAAGAAAACTAATAAATTTACAATGCGAAGTCTGGTGGGGGCACAAGATAAGCCTAGTGGCCCACCAGGCTGATAGTACACTGAGGGAAACCCTGAGTTTATCTTAGCCATTTTTGTTTTTTAACAACATCTCTATGTTTAGGTTTGTTTGCTTTGTATTTAACTTTTATATTTCACATCACACCCAGTAAAACGCACCGATTTGCATAAAACAGGAGAAAGTTCAAGGGATTTTTTTTAAAATCTTTTTTTGCAAAGCGCTGTAAACATTGGTATTGTTTCACAGAATGAAGAAAATAAATTTTGCTTGCCGTTTAGGATTTCCTCCATGCAATTTGTAAAACCTGTGGTTTAATGTTGGGAATAATTTGAGGGAAGCGGCTCACCAGCTCCTTCCGCAGATGGGAGAAGAGCAGGTCAGTTCCCCAGGTTATGTGGCTGCGGCGTCACCTCTTGCGTAATCCCGCTGCAAGCTGCACAAACCACAGGCGGCAGAGAAAGGTCCTCAACCTGAAGTAATTGTGTTATAGATGCCCGGTGATGATCATATTTGAGCGGCTGGGCTGCTGCAAAGGTCCTGGAAATAAACCGCAGTTCAAACGATACAACCGTGTCGAAAAATGACCCCTGCACAGCTGATTTTAGTCTCTCCCATGCCCCCTGTTTTAGCTCTGCTGTTTGAATTTGTGTAATTTGTTAGACAAATGGGACAAACGGTGCACATTGATGGATTATATATCTTTGGGGATTGTGAAGATATATTTTTCCCCCTCCACAAGCCAGCTCTGGACTGTGTGGGAGACGATGGATTAGGCCGACTAAATGTCTGATATAAATTGTGCTTTCTCCTGCAGACTGTGCGTCATGGCTTTCCATATCAACCGTCATCGATGGCTTTTGACCCCGTGCAGAAAATCCTGGCCGTCGGGACTCAGTCCGGAGCTTTGAGGCTGTATCCTTTTCTTTTTTTTTGTTTTTTTGTTTTTTGTTTTGTTTCACGAGGGGAATTGAAAAGTGCTAAACAAGGAAAGTAACTGTTAAACGCTACAGTGACGTCTCAAGTTCCTCACACGAGGAAGCTGGCCTTCGACATTCCACGGAATGAGGTGGGAATTCACCGTCGCGGCTGACGGAATGAAAAGAAATGATCACACACAAGCCCGGGTCACATTGCTCCGCAGCTGGTAGCGGCTCCTGGAGCAGCCGGGCCTAATTAGCGGTAGCTGTGCAGTTGCATGAAAACTCCCCCTCCCACCCGGTAACCCCCTCCTCCACCATATGTTATGGAGCCAACCTCAACGGCTGTGCTGCCCAGTCTGTGCCAGGATGCCACTTCATATGTGCTGTAAACAGAACCGGACTTGCACGACACACCAACACACGCAATCATTTGTGCTTTCGGGTTGATGCCGAGGAATTCTCTTTTGTTTTTCTTAAATTGACCAGTCACTGACTTTCCACACCTACTTCTCGTCCTCTGGTTCGAGGCGTTAGCACGCTAACTTTGGTCTTCCCTTTGTGATGATGTCCTACTCAGGAAGGCCCTTCAGCTTAGCTTAGATTTTCATTAGACCTGACTCCGTCCTGGTCTTTATCCACTCATCAGATTAAGAGAGTGTTTTGTTTCCGCGTGGCAACACACACACACACACACACACACACACACACACACACACACACACACACACACACACACACACACACACACACACAGGCGCGCAGCTACTATGTTGCCCCTCTTGGTGCAAGATGAAGCTGATGGGATTACTGTCACTCAGGCAATTGGTCCATTTATCAAAAAGACGCGCTTTATCGATCCGCCTCGTCGGAGTTTGGAAACGCTCGCACGGCTCAGAAGACATGAGCCCGGTGAGGTATCTACAAGCAATAAACGTCTGCTTTTACAAGACCTGTCTCCGCTACAGTGTTTTAATCAGCGGGTTACTGTAGACGGTTTCCTGCGCTTTACAGAGCTTGTTTGTGGTCGGCGGTGGCGTTGGATATCTAGAACTCTTCCATATGTACTTCATTTGTACTTCAGTCTGGACAGCAGGCCCAGACTGATTATCATTGTCAAGGTATGGTTTAAAGGCATAAAGCAGTTGTGGTTTTAAACCCGCACATATTTTTAGAGATGAGCAGATCGGGTTCTTCCTGCCTACTACCTACAGCATCTTTTTTTTTTAAATTTCCTTTTGATTGTGCTAGATGCCGAAATTGAAGAAAATGGTGTAATTGGTCCAAATCTGAAATGACCTCAAAGAGAACCAGGTAGCTGTTTTGGCTGAGGGAAGTCTGATCAGTGCTCTTCTGTGCTTGATGTAGGGAAGCAACAAGGCAGCTTAGAAGGAGACTGGATCTGACGGTCTGACAGGACCACCCTGTCTGACCGTGACATGTGGTACACTCTTCTTAATTCTTTGCACTAAGACCGTTGCATAACTAATTTACCTGGCTAACATCACCTACTTTTAAAGGAGCAGAAAGGTAATATTCTGCATAATAAATACACATTTATTCTGTTGTTCTGCTTAATTCTACGTGTCATCAAAATGATGGAAAAGGAATCTGTTTACCTCAAAGATTCCCAGTTTTGTAAGTGATTATCATAATGTAAAATTCTCACCCAGGCCCATGGTCGGGTGAGTGCAGAAAAGCCTGTATTCTGCGAGTTTGTGTTGGGTCAGGTGACCGGTCACGCTAGAACTCAAGACTTTCAAGTCAGCTTTCGAAGCAGAAATATGTCACAGCGTCAGCCGACTTCTTTAGTTACTTTGTTCTCATTTTGACCCGGCGTGCTTTTGAAGTGGCTGTGGAAAACGATTTCTTCTCTCCCACATGTTGATTTGCACAATAAAGAAAACTTCCCACTCAGATGATAAATGATTTGACTTCCTGAGAAAAGCAGGAAGTCTGTGGTCTACCACTTTGGCTTCCCAAATGGGGAAGTCTTTATGTTAAGGAGGGATTGCTGAAGTGTGTAAACTCCACAGGAACAGTGAGGAGAGACAGTAGATTCTGTTTCGGTTTGACGGAGTTCTTTGATGGCTGCTTCAAGTGGTCAAAAAGTCACTTTTAAGGTCCATTTGACAGGAGAAACGTATTAAGCGAGGGCTGGCGACTAGGAAACAAACCCCCCAAAAACACATGTGGTTTTGAAACCTATGCGTTTTTCTCCTTCATACCGCTCCTACAGTTTTGAATTCTTTCAGTAAAATAGCAGAACTTTTCAGAGGCAGCAGAGTTTAGCGCAGACGTCCGTCTTGACTTAGTTTTAGAGAGCGAACGTCTCGGTTCCTGTCAATTCACAGTCACCAGAGATCGTGGCTAGCTTCTTCAAAAACTATAAACTAAAGCAAGACACCTTTTACTGTTATTGAGTCCATGCTGTTCAGAAAGTAAAATATTTATGCTACAAATCTAGAGTAGTTATGTGTGTTAACCAGAGTAGCGGCGAACTAACCGACCCTTGCCAACTAGCCAGTTATTAGCTTTCAGTGTTGATTCATAAAGGGACGAATGGCAATAAGCATCCTTACTTAATGCTTCTAACAAACACCACAGATGTTTATTTCATGTTTTGGTCTAGTCTTTTTCCACCGTGTGCATCTGTTCATTCTTATGTCCTTTTTATAAAATTTATTTTGCATATCATTCCCCACAGTATTAGCATCACAAAGTCTGTTCCAGAATATTCAGTATTTGGTGACTCTTGTTGCTTAACGCAGCACAAAACGTTACTTAAGATGTTTTGGTTATGTCATTAAGAAACTGCAACTAAGTTCATTGCCAAAAATGGCAGACGCAAACAGAGCAGCTTACTCAATAATAGTAATAATAATAATAATAAAAGACCATGTTGAAGGGAAAAATCTGAATGCAATTTATTTTTTCCCTTATAGCTGGACAGCTTATCTGGGTTCTGCTTGCAAGAACCCAGAGCAAAAAGACATCTGCTCTGTTTAGCAAAGTATCTGTTTCCTTCCTACAAGTCCTATCTTAATATCACAACATGCACCAACATTACCACATTCTTTCCTGATAATGGGCAGCCCTGTCGGCGACAACATTATCATATATTGTAGTTTTATTTTAGCTGCAGCATTGTAATAATTTTTGCTTCATGGATATATCAGAGCCTCTGCACAGCTGCATCATTACATTGTGGTACGATGCATCATCAAATCAGTGGCTTAGAGAAATTATTGGTGTAAGACTGTAGACTTTTTCATATCCCAACATGATGAAACATAATCTTGCAGATTAGTCCTTTGCTAAAGAATGGAAATGATGCGAAACTCATGCAAGAGCTTTGGTGCTCAACACATTTTAACCTAATGAAAAAAAACACAACAGCAGATATTAGAGTGATGTGTTACTTCCACAGCATTGTCATTAACTCAACAAACTGAGAAACTGACTTTGAAACTATGATTTCTGTTTAGGGATTAAATCCTCCCGAGTCCCAAAAAAAAATAAAATGAAAACCTCTGGGAGTTGATGTACGTCTCGCAGCAGATGGACGATGGACACATTACTTTTGCAACTTATTGGGGGTTTACTTTGTCTTCCCCTTTTGAGAAAAGCAGAACATTTTTAAACATGTCTTATTAATCTAGCAGTGCAATCCATGCAGCATTTAGTGAGAGGAATTTCTAGCATGTTTTGCTTTTCCAAGATATTGTGTTTAAATGGGAAATTACAAGGTAAATAGTGAGACCAGTGGTTGTTTTCTTATATGTACCTGTGTTTTTAAAAAAGTGAAAAGTAAAAAATATAGTTTGTACTTAGGCTTTAAATGATAGTAGTAAAGTGTTGGAGGAGGTTTGAAAAGAGTGCTGCCTTTGCTCACCAGCGTGATAAAATCTCGTTTTGAGGTTTGTCTTAGTAATTTCCTGCTCGCCTAGAAAGTGGCTTTGCTCTGCAGCACTATTAACCTACATTAAAACAGAAACAGGTTAAACTAGTACAACACATGCTCTCAGCGTTCAAAAGGACGGCCAGGAATAACATGAAATGTAAGCCTTGTGGCCTCTGAAGCAACCCTTCGCGTTACCACAAACATCCTCATTATTTAAACTACTCCTCTGCTCTTATTTAAATTTGCCCGGAGGATGTAAAATTCTTCCTCCGCTCTGGACTGAGTACGGCATGATTCCCATGAATAATCCTGACAACGAACCGGGAGCTAAAACCGAAAGGAGAGGTCAAGGGTCAAGACGAGATCTGCTGACAGCAGCTCTGAACTGGCGCCAGCTTAAAAGTCTAAAAGTCTGTGTTTGCCTCTCTGCTTGTGCAGAAGGGATGCCTAACGCTGAGTGGTGTGTTCTGTAACCGTCTCCTGCCACCCCACCTTAGTTTATTTAAGGATCCGAGGGATTGTTTGATTGTAGCTATTCAGATCGGCTTGCACGGTTTTAGCCGTCGCTGCTTAAACACCGCAAAGGGCGAGAGGTGCCACAACCCAGGAAAAAAAACTGTTTACATAAATACATGTTGTTCCAGTAAAGCTGTAAAACCGGCATTAACTAAGTAATCAACACTTAAAATTCCTAGAAAGCTCTTTGTGCTTCACATATTTCACATCCAGCTCTTAAGTCAATTACAGAAATGCAACCACGCAGCATTTTTAATATTATTCTTTGTTTGAACTCGTCAAAATTTTAGACATGTTTTGTGCGTTCCTCATATTTTATTTTTTTTCTGGTGGAAACAAATGCAGACACACACCTTCTAATTTCCATCTGTTGTCTATATTTGCTTATTCTTGGATCATAGGATGTGGTTGATCTTCATTTAAGTGTGTTTTGTTATTTAATTCAAATATTCTGTGTTAGAATCCACCAAAAAATAACTAAATCTTGCACATTTTCATGGACCTGGATGTTTTATTTGCCATGGTTGTTGTTGTATTGCGAACTTCATCTATTCATTTTAATTGATAGCGCAGACAGAAGCAGTAAAACATATATCATATATGTACATTTCAATGAGTATTTTTTATATTATTGATTAATTTGGAAAATTTTTAAAGATACCGTCAGCACTTTGGTACCAATTCTAAATTACTTTGTTCAATAAAATATCATTCCAAAACAATAACGTAGCAGAGAAACAATGAAACATAAACATTTACTTATTATTACATATTCTAATATGTAATGAATTCAAACTTAAATGCCAACAACTAGACATACATCTGTGTATATTTGCTTTCACAAATGAATAAAAAAAAATCTATTTTTATTTATGAATTATTTATTGGATTCCTTGGATCTTTTTGAGCACGAATCCTGGATTTCTTGCAGATCACTCCAACAAAATACTTTTGTTTTCACAATTATGCCAGTCCAGAACTTCTCTGTATGATTAGATCTAACACCGTTTCCCCGAACTGTTGTGAAAGCTTTCACAGACCAGTTTCACCAAACACAGATTGAAACAGAAACGGCACATTAAAACAGACGTGTAAAGCAAGCGTCTCTGAAGTCAAAGCCAGCAGCTCTCTCTCTGCTTTTATTGGTACATTTGTGGTTTCCCTGCTTTATTCACAGGCTTTATTCAAAGCCACATTTTAAACAGAGCCTTTTTGTGCATTCAGGATCCATTCCACTCCCATCCCTGCATCACCTTTGTTGGCAACTCTTCCTTATTTTTCTTTGACCGAGCCAACTTTTAGGTTCGGCCGTGCGGGCGTGGAGTGCTACTGTCAGCATGAGAGCGGGGCTGCTGTCATCCAGCTCCAGTTCCTCATCAATGAGGTGCGTTGTCATTGCCTCTGCATTGTACTCAATGCTCTTTTTTTTAACTTCTCTCAGTCAATCCATCTCTTGTCTCTTTATCTCTTTTTCATTTTCTTTTTATAGTCGCCCCTGTTAATAATGCTTTTAAACCCCTATCAAGCAGTAACGCTACTGATACGACCTCTCCTGTTATATTTTGTAAACATAAAACAGTGAGGGAAGCCAAGCCATGTGAGCTGAATGCTAAACGTCCCTGTGTTTGTCAATGTCTCCACAGGGGGCGCTGGTGAGTGCCTTAGCTGATGACAGCATCCATCTGTGGAACCTGAGGCAAAAAATCCCAGCGATCCTGCATTCGCTCAAGTTTAACCGGGAGAGGTACAGCACCGTGTTCCCCTCCGCTCTGTGATCTGTAAACCAAACTTCGATGCTGTGATCACAGCCTTCTTCGTTCATACAGCTTTGTGATGCGTTGGCAGTAATTTTGTGCCTTATTTCAAGTTTCTTGTTTGAAAACTTCAACATGCAGAGAGTTCGATATTTTATGCTGCATGTTGAATCACACAACCTTCAGAACGTTGTGACATTGCGGTCGCAGCGATTGATGAAATCATCTGAAAATTTTGCAATTTTAGCCAGTCATCACACCTTTTTCGCAAGAGCTGACCAATCACCATGATTTCTGTGTTAACTTCTTTTCTGGCCAATTTTGAGATGTTTTGTTTGGTTACACTGTGTGTACAGTTAATTTTCACTTAAATAACCAATATGGATTTTGACTCCTCAGGGCATAATTTTATTTTTATTAATAATTCTACTGCATTAAGGTACTTAAAAATGTTATTTTCACTTCAACTACTATATTTTCTGGACTATAATTCACGGTTCTTTTTTAGTTTTATTTTTTTGTCATAAAAATTGGCTTCGGCTGGTGCAACCAGAGCAACTTATAGTAGGAAAATTCTCTCATTTTTATTGGGGAAGTTATGTGCATCAATTCAAACTTTTTGTAAGATCTTCGTATGTCAAAAAAAAAAACAGCTTGAAACATTGCAACTTTGGCCGCAACTTTTTGAAAAAAAAAAAAAAAAAAGCAATGTTAGGCTGCAACAGTCATAAATAAACATCATAACATCCTGGAGGGACTGACGTATTTTATCTCTAGCAATTTGCATTTATATGTTTAGCTTATTTTTAGCCTTTTCAATGTGAACCTGAAGCTTTTTTCCCAAATGTTAGATGGAAGTTGTTCCTAACACTAAAAAAGTAGCATCTCGCTGTATTTTCACCACAGCTTCCCAGGTTGGCAAAATGTCCATGGTCTTTGAAAGTCCTGTGAGACGTAAACGGAGACGGCAGAGGGGATGTGTGTTTAAAAACACAGCATCTGCACAATAAGTACATCCTATACTGTAAAAGTGATGTAGGGCCCGGTCGAGAAAAGACAGCAGTATTTATTCTGCTACTCCTCCCCGCTGAGTTATAAATAGTACAGGTTCATTAGTGTGACACAGTGCAAGGCCTTTGTAATTAAATTCTAGTCATTCAACGCTCCTTCCAGTTGGACCAGCGTGATTAGGGACATGCGGGGGCCTTTAGATGGCTCTGACTCATGGGATAATAAAAAGCCTGCTGCTGATGCATCCTGATCTCTTGCAGAATCACATACTGCCACCTGCCCTTCCAGAGCAAATGGCTGTACATCGGCTCAGAGCGAGGAAACATCCACATCGTCAATGTGGAGTCCTTCACCCTCTCAGGCTATGTCATCATGTGGAACAAAGCCATCGAATTGTGAGTCTGTACTCCACGACGTTCTGCTCTCTTCCTCACCCTTTTGTCCTATTTGCATATCTCACTGTCGCACCGGTGCAGCCGACACTCAACCAGGAAACTCCAAGATGCAGAGGAATGCGTCTGGCTGTGCAGTCGCTGATATTGTGTCCTGCAGAGCTGATAATGCCGTAGCGCTGATCAAGTGTGGCTGCGGCATACGGGTGGTGATTATGCTCTGCCAGGACTTGTTGTGGAGACTCCTGCAGGTGTTTGCTGCCTGATTTGACAGAACATGACAGGAAGTGCCCTCTTGATAACCCCAGTGACCCAATTCTGTGACCCAAACACTCATTGTGATGATCACAAGTTTACATCCTACCCTTTACTTTTGTTTTTATAAAGTTACTTTTGACAACACAGGGTTTCGTGACACGACGCTGCTGTAAATACCATTTACTGAAACATTTACTGACGAAGGTAAAACTATATTAAACACCTACTGTTAAGATTAGGATCAATTTCACAGCCTTGAGCTGAAAAATGCATTCAACTTAACCATCCTTAGCTATCTTTCTTCCGCCTTTTCTCTCCTTTTACTTTGGACGGTCATTTGTAGTTTTGCTTCACTCCCGATAGCAGCGCACAGTAGCCAGCATCGCAGACAGACATGCAGGAGCCGACTTTGTTGGTGTTTCAAACTGAAGTAAATTTTAACGTTTTGTGTGGCGGCTTTTATTTTGCCACCATCAATTTCATGGAGAGGAAACCCTGCAGCGTTTTGGTCTGATTTGATCTCGGCCTTGGTAAATTCACGATTGGAAACTTTGCTTGCCGAACAGCTCCTGAGAAATGAAGACTTGAGCCTGTATAAGTTCTTTCCAAGTAATTCAATTTTTTTCTCCACCCCCCCTCCAGCTCACTTGTGCAGTTTTCTCACAAGCGGGCTAAAAAAAAAAAGATTTTTAGACGGTGACTGGCAGCCGAAATGAGTAGCAGACACCGAGGTGTGTGTTTGAGTGCGAGGCTGCAGGTGAAATCCGATAAATTGCTGCTTTAGATCTCGGAGTTGAAAGTGTCAGGGCAAAGTGTGCCATCCGTGAAGGAAACAGCCACTGAAGATGGGAAATGATTTTTGCCTCGCCGCTTGTGAAAATGGAAAAGAGAAGACGTAGTGTGAAATGTGAAAGATAATTCACAGTCATTTCTTTGTAAAAGGCTTGTCAGATCTCTGACAGAAATGTCTCTTTCTGGGCTTTTTAGCTCTGTGGCTCGCTTCTCTTTTCTTATGCTGCTACTTATTAAGTGAAGGAGCCCTGCTAGTAAAATAATTACAAAATTCTAACGTCTCTTCATGTTTAGGAAAGTTGACAGTTATGACATAGATTTGCAATTTTGCCTGTTGGCACCATTGCATTTGACTTGGATTACCGCTGTTAACTTGTATTTAAAGAGCGGAGCTGTGAGTTCATGTAAACGGGGTCAATATAAATATTCCGTAAGATATGTGAGTAACTATGTCCATTGTGTTTTTAAGATTGTGCTTTGACCTGTTAAGATGTGTCAACGTTGTTCTGAGGAAATCAGTGATTTAATTTCTTCAGTGCAACCTTTTGAAATTTTTAATCTTAGCTCCACCTTTCACAACGAAGCTCCTCCTTGGACCTGCAGTTGCCTCACAGAGCATCATATTTCTTTTAAGTCATATTTGATAAATTTAGCATTTTTATAATACTTATAAAAATTTTAATGTAGCAGGGAAATACATAATACTTTAATTAAAAAAATATATTTTTTTGAACTTATCTGTACAATTTAAGATTTTTTTTATGCATAATGTGCATTATTTTCCTTGGCTCATTAGACTGATATTTATTGCATTTTCTCATCAGATTAATGCAATCTAGCCTCTGCAGTTCATCAATTAAATCAAGCACTATTACATTTTAGGCCTTATTGTTGCACATGAATACCATTTTCTTATTCAGAGCATTTCTTTCAACTTTCCTGAACTGGCAAAACATCCAGCACATATAATGTTTATCCCAGTACAAATATAAATAAAAAATGCAATATTTGTTTGTTTTTTTTTTTTATGTTTTTTTTTTTCCAATATCATGTAATAAATGACACCAGAATTGCTACTTGTGCAAAGATAGAACTTTTCAGTGCAGCCGTCCAAATCCTGACAACCAGAGGTGGGCGTATCATCGCCAGAACCTTCAATCAGCAGCTATCTTAATGAATCCACAGCGGAGATTGCTTTTCACTTACAGAGCGCTGAAGGCACAACAAGCCACAAACAGGCTGCATCCTTTCATAAAGAACCTTATTATCCATAAACATCAAAGCTTCAGATAAATAACGGATTCTCGTGCAAAGTCTGAAAAGTCACCCTTTTTTTTTAGTCAGAAGCCGAGAATCAGTCGTGTTTCGAATGCGGTTTGGACTCATTTACGACGGCGTACAGACACTTTTATCCAGGCGGTGTGTGCCGACTGCGTGCTTTCATCGTGTCAGCTGCCTGTTTAAGCCGAATCCTCATTAGGCACCGGCGGCGGCGGCGGCGGCGGCGGCTGAAGTTCATCTTCTGGTCTTTCGCTTGTTTTCTCTCACTGCGACATCTCTGTCTGTGTTGACTCATCAGCAGCAATGAGATCATTAGCCACCGGAGCCAGACCACACTCAGAGACAGCAACACGTTCTTTAGGCCAAATCTTCGCTTTCCTCCGTGCCCCTCACTCCGTTGCCTCGGTGATCCTGTCTCCATGCAGCATCATCTCCCACAGACCCCCTTACTCGCTCTGTTTCCCTCTCATGTGTCATGTCTCTTTCAGTAGTTTTTTTCTTACAAGGATATTTAGTTTCACCTTTGTGTGAGCCAGCCAGTGTTGCTCGTTATTTTTAATTTTTTCCTTCACCTAATTGCCTCATTGTCTGAACTAGGCTTATGAAAGCTGCCACAGTTTCTCTGTCAGTGTCTAGCTCTAAAATGTAAGATACACATCATGTCTGACCATGCTTCAAACTGTCCTTGGATTGCTTTAAAATGCGTGCTGCTGTTCTGTTGCAGATCCACCAAGACACACCCAGGGCCTGTTGTGCACATTAGTGATAACCCCATGGACGAGGGCAAGGTAACTTATAAATTAAAACACCCATCAATTTAAAAGTGTGTCCAACTCTGTTTTATCTTAATGTCTTTGTGTGTATTTTGTATGTTTATAATTGTGTTGTATGTCATCATTTTCATTCATTTCTTAGTCATTGAATTGCACAAAACCACCTTTCTGGATTTAAGATATTGATTTCTTTTGTTTTGTTTTTTGGGATGCATGTTTTTAACTTGTTTCACTGTGGTACAGCACTTAGGTCTTAAGTACTGTTACAAAGAACATAAGGTAGTCGTTGTTTTTGTTGTTGTTATTTGTTTTATTGCCTCGTGCTTTACACGGACATGCCGGTTAAACTGTAAATAAAAAATAAAACAATACATCAATATTTAGTAACAACGAGAACTAATCTCCGACAGCTTACAACATTGATGTAACTCACCACGTTGGGCAACACTCATAAACGTCGATTAAATATCCGTTTGTAGTCAATAATACCGTTAGCTGCGGCTAACGGCGATCTCTGTGCCGTTACTTTTTCTGCCGTAAGTTTCTTCTCTCCCTTAACTGACGCGAAGCCACTACAGCGCCCTCTAACGGAACGGAGAAGGAGTGAATCCAACATCCCGGCCCCGATGAACTCTACAGATGTTCATCTCAGAAAATTGGTGAACGACAAGTTAAACTTAACAACTGTATATGACTATGTAATATCCACTTCGCAATAACAAACTTTTCTGAAAGGAAGTTTTTTTTTTTTTTAAAGACTACTTGTTACAGTAATCATAAACATAAGATAGAGTGAAAATTATCTTTGACATATAGAAAACTCAAACACTTTGAAGGTAAGTAAATCTACTTGTCCATATTTCCTTCTAACAAACACAACTTGTGTATTGGACGGGTATAAATGCCTCTCTGAGTCTTCACTTGCACTGATCTCACCAAACCATCAGCTCCGATGTTGACATCAGTAACCAAACCAAGAGGCCACTGATTGCGAGGAGTGCATTCGTGCAGAATCAGCACAAGATCTCCGATTTGATAGTTTCTGGAATGGTGGTTCCACTTCTGCCGTTGTTGCAGGCTGGGTAGGTACTCCTTTACCCACTGAACCCAGAAAATGTATGCCAAGTACTGGATTTGGCGCCAGCGTCGACGATACAGATCTTGCTTTACAAAATGACCAGGAGGCAGAGCACACTCTGATCTCAGCAGAAGCAAGTCATTGGGGTCAAAGGTTGACCATCTCTTGGGTCATCTGACAACTTTGTTAGTGGTCTCCCATTGACAATGTTTTCAATGATACAGAAAAGTGTCATTAGTCCTTCATCATCCAGAGTCTGTTGTCCTGCAACGCTCATGAGAATTGAGCGCACAGAACGGATTTGTCTCTCCCATACACCCCCCATATGCGAGGCGGCGGGAGGATTAAACTTCCATTGAGTTTCTCGCTGGAGTAGATGATCCTCGATCTTTTGCTGGTTCCATCCTTCCAGAGCCTTCCGCAGTTCATGACGAGCACCAACAAAGTTCGTCCCATTGTCCGAACGTATCAGTTGGGGTGTCCCACGGCGAGCCATGAATCGCTGAAGAGCGTTGATAAATGATTCTGTGTCCAAGCTGTGTGCCACCTCCAAGTGGACAGCTCTGGTAGTTAGGCAAGTGAATAGACATCCATATCTCTTCACCTCACTCCGTCCTCTTTTGATGGTGATGGGTCCAAAGTAATCAATTCCGACGTGAGCGAAAGGCGGCTTACATGGAGTCACACGATCAATGGGCAAATCAGCCATGTACTGAGTACTGATTGGAGCCTTTTGTCTTTTGCAAGGTACACACTGTGCTAGGACTTGCTTCACAGATGCGCGGCCTCTGACAATCCAAAAGAATTGTCTGATATCAGCAAGCACCCTTTCAACTCCAGAATGACCTGTGAGCTTGTGAAAATGCCAAATGATAAGTTTGGTAATATGGTGGTTTTGAGGCAAAATTGCAGGGTGTTTTTCCGCTTCAGTTATTGGAGCATTGGTGAGTCTTCCTCCGACACGGAGTAATCCATCACTGAGTCGTACTGGAGCTAACTTCTTGATGCTTTCTCCTTTCATTGGACCAGTCAAGTGGGTGCGCTGAGCGTATTCAATGATGGAAATCTCTGCCAGTTTCATTTCATTTGGTGTTATTGGATCACTTAGCTTGAGTTCATACTTCTTCAGAAGGATATTCTTAGCTCGTAGGATCAGTACAATAGCTCGTTTGAGTTTGTACCAGGAGGAATACCTCTGAATGAAACAGTCAATTGCTGATTGAATGGTGAGCTTAGAAGACATTGCATATGTCTGACTTGACTTCTTTACCTCTGCTTCCGGAGGTAAGCTTCCTAGATCAGGCTGGCAAGGCCATAATTCTTCTTCTTGCCACAGGAAGGCAGGGCCTTTGAGCCAACGCTCACTGTTTGTAAGTTCCTCAGCAGACAGTCCCCTTGAAACATCATCTGCAGGGTTTAGTTCTGTGCAAACATGTTTCCATTGTGAGGCTTGTGAGACTTCACGGATTTGTGAAACTCTATTTGCAACAAAGGTTTGGTACCGTTTCTCTTCGTTTCTGATGTAATGTAGGACAATAGTGCTGTCTGTCCAGAAGACAGAATCTAGAAGGGGTAGCTCAAAGCTTTGATGGATTTGTTGATCAAGCTGTACTGCTACTACAGCGGCTGCCAGTTCTAATCTTGGAATAGTGCTTGGTTTAACAGGAGCCAACCTATTCCTAGAGAGAACGATATTACAGTAGATGTTATCGTTGCTTACAACCCTAAGGTAGCTAACAGCACCATAACCTAACTCTGAAGCATCACAGAAGTGATGAAGTTGCATGGTGACTGAAGCTGCAGTGAAACCTTCAGGTCTGAGACATCGGGGCACCCGCAGTCTGCAGAGTTTTGGTAGGTCATCTAACCACCGGCCCCATTGCTCAGCAATGTCATTTGGGATAGCTTCATCCCAACTTAGCTTCAAGCGACATAGCGCCTGGAACAGTGCCTTTCCCCGTAAAATGAATGGGCCAACTAACCCCAGGGGATCATAAACTGAGCTTATTGTGCTTAGCATGCCTCTTTTTGTGTTGGGTTTGTTCCTGACCTTGATGATGAAGGTGATGCAGTCATCTGCTATGTCCCAAAACACTCCCAGAGCTCTCTCCAAAGACAAATCTCCATCCAGGTCCAACAATGGTAGTTGATTTGCATGCTCCTCAGGCGGGATAGACTGTAGAACCTCAGTTGAATTGCTAGTCCATTTTGTCAGGCGAAACCCACCATGCATGAGTAGGTCGATCAGCTGTGCCGCTAGACGGATGGCCTGTTGAGGTGAGTCTGAGGATTTCAGGCAATCATCTACGTAGAAGTTTCTTTCTACAGTGGAGATGGTATCTGCATCGTACAGATGTGCGTGATCTGATGCACACTTCTTTAATGCAAAACTTGCTGCACTTGGAGACCACACTCCACCAAAAAGGTGGGATGTCATCCGGTAAGTAACTACCTCATTATTAGGATTGTGGTCCTTCCACCAGAGGAATCTTAGCACATTTCTGTGTTCTGGAGTTACATGTATCTGATTGAACATGCCCTCAATGTCTGCCATTACAGCAACTGGACCTTGTCGGAAAACGGATCAACACGTTTATTAATTTGTTTGTTAGATCTGGGCCCTGATGGACGACATCATTGAGAGATACTCCGTCATACTTTGCTGCGCAGTCAAAAACAACTCGCACCTTTCAGGCTTGCGAGGATGAGTCACTGCGTGATGTGGGAGGTACCAAACTTTGCCCTCATTGTGATCAGGCGACAAAGCTGGGACTTCTTCTGCATATCCTTTATCAATAGTTGACTTCATTGCTTTAACATACTTGTCTTTCAGGTTTGGGTCCTTTGTTAATCTGCGTTCCAGTAGTTGTAGTCTCCGTGTCGCTAAGTTGATATTGTTAGGCAGTGTCACTGCTTTGTTCTTAAAAGGTATGTCTAAGGTATAATGTGAGCCATCTTTGGTAACTGAGTTTTCCCACAGTTTAATCACCTTGTGGTCATTTATTGACAGATTGTTCTCTGGAGCAGGGTCGTCAATTTTCCAAAACCTTTCCACCTGTGTTTGTAGATTTTGATCTGACTTGAGGAAGTAAGTCTTAACCTTCCTAACTTCTTTGTGATCAATGGGACCATTGATGGCCCAGCCGAGTACTGTTCTGCTAGCGTAAGGGTCATTATCACCTCCTACGCGGTACTCTTCAGCTCTAAGGAGACGAGGAGCATCTTGTCCAATGACAAGGTGCACATCGTTGGACTTGATGCTGGGAATAGGGATATCTGCTAGGTGATCCCATCTGGCTGCCTCGTCTGGTGTCGCAAGACAGCTAAGTCCAATGTTTAATTTCTTAAGTGTTCTCACACCATTAAGTGTGTAGGTGCTGCCATCATGCAGAGAGTCAATCTCAAGATCCACACTTTGAGTGAATATGCCTTCTTGGCTTCCTCCTACCGTGTCAAGGTCTAATCTTGCAGGCTTGCCTTTGACCTTTAGCTTCTTGGTCAGCTCTTCTGACACTAAACTGGTATTGGCGCCAGGATCGAGTAATGCATATGTAACAGAACTGATGTTTGTAGCTTTACCCCTAACGACCACAGGAACTATAGGTAAACAAACTTTACCATTTGCAGCTCCAGCGAATCCACATGTGACATTAGGTGATCTGCTAGGTTGCGTTCTTTGGGTAGTTTTAGTGTCATCAGTGCTGTCCTGGCCTGCTGCTGTCTCCTGTCTGTTAGTGTGGTTAGGATGCAGCCATTTGTTGTGTTTCTGTCCACAGCCAGGCACGTTGCACACCCAGTTGCGCGTGCAAATCTCAGCACTGTGCCCAATCTTGAAACAGTTTTGACACAGGTTTTTTTCTTGAACAAACACCAGGCGCTCTGGCACCGTTAGTGATCGGAAGCCTGGGCACTGGTTTAAGAAATGCTGTTCTGAGCATTTAAGACATTTTAAATAAGCTGGCTGTTTGGTGCGTGCAGACTTACTTTCACAGACTGCAGCGGCTTTGACAGTGGTGGGGTAGCTTTGACGATGTTTCTTTGAGACTTTGGTAGGTGATGTAAAGTTGTTTGGTTTCTCATATTTCTTTGAAGCCAATTAGCCCACCAAAGACTGGATCAGATCTCTTTTCAGCTTCTGTCTCCACAAAGTTCACGACGTCATTAAGTTTCGGTAGACGTCCTTCCTTTGTGATGTCGTAGTTTTTATTTAGCCACTTGGCCCTGAGATCTGATGGTAGCTTGCTAATTATCTCAAATAATGTGCGGCGGCCGCTGAGCTCTTCCTCACATTTCATTGCAGCAAGCGTGTCTTTACAGCCTCTCAGCAGGTCTGCGAAATCTCTGAGTTGCAGATTGTCTTATCTCTTTAAAGTTCAAAACCTTTTCAACCCAAGCTTGAGAAATGGAATGAGGATTTCCAAATCTTGATTTTAGTCGGTCTAGTGCTTCTTTGAAACCTGCGTTGGGATCAGAATTGTACAGACAGTGACTATAGCATCTCGAGCCTTCCCTTCTGTGTACTGGTGCAGACGAGTTAACTTTTCTTCAGCAGAAATAGACTCTTTGTCCACCATAGTGGTGAAAAGCCTCATGAACTTCCAATACTGAAGGGGTTCACCGTCAAACTTGATTAGATCAGTTGGTGGGAGCCTGAGAGTGTCAACTTGTGCTTGATAATGCTGCCTTGAGAACTCTAGCAGTTGTGAAATCGAATCATCTGCCATCTGGAATGGCGAGGGTTGTTGTGTCGTAGGAATTTTGCCAATTTTCGGCGTAGAATGGAGATCTGCTGTGAAGGCTTGCATCTTTTGCTGATTGTGTTGCACCTGTGCATCCAGCTCAGCTTGTGATGTAGTCGCTGAAGTTCCAACTCAAATTCCTCTTTGTTACGTCTAAGCAACAGCTCAAAGTTTTCCTTCTCTTTCTTTCTTAGGGCTTGGATTTTCTCTAGTTCTGCTGCTGCGGAATCTTCATATTTATATCAGCTGGAGGCTCGCTGAACATGGCTTGTGTAGTAACATCTAGCTCATCATCAACATATGAATGCACACTAGCTCCATCTTCTTCTTTTTCTTGCAGCCAGGCTAGAGCTTCATGACGCACATCGTGAACGTTCATTAATAAGTCTCTCATAAGCATCAGACTCTTCTCTGTCGATGTCATCAGTGAGCCGAGAATGATAACATTTATGTACCTCCTGAAGATGTGCAAGGGCTAAGTCGAGGCTCTCTAGCACTGACTTCAATTCTTCTGGCTTGTTTTCTCTAATTTTTTCGTTCGCTGACGTCATCATCTTAGTTACGGCTGCTTTAGCTTGTCCTCTCTTCCTTTCAGCGCAGCAATGTCTGTTTCTCCCGCGGATTCTTTAGTTTCAGACATGATGCCGACGTGTTTAACTTTATGTTACAAAGAACATAAGGTAGTCGTTTTTTTTGTTGTTGTTATTTGTTTTATTGCCTCGTGCTTTACACGGACATGCCGGTTAAACTGTAAATAAAAAATAAAACAATACATCAATATTTAGTAACAACGAGAACTAATCTCCGACAGCTTACAACATTGATGTAAACTCACCACGTTGGGCAACACTCATAAACGTCGATTAAATATCCGTTTGTAGTCAATAATACCGTTAGCTGCGGCTAACGGCGATCTCTGTGCCGTTACTTTTTCTGCCGTAAGTTTCTTCTCTCCCTTAACTGACGCGAAGCCACTACAGCGCCCTCTAACGGAACGGAGAAGGAGTGAATCCAACAAGTACGTTTTGTAAATAATCTGACATTGACATTTTTAGCCTGCTATAAATGCTGTAGCGCTCCGAACAATCAGTTGTAAATCATAACATTTTTATTAAAACACTTTAATTGTCTTTTGGGTTTTTTTGGACATTTTTCCAAAAACTGTTCTTTTTTCCAAGACAAATAATACCATACTTCATTACTATTCATGTCATAAAGTATGTCCTCAGCTCTGATGTAACATCAGGGATGTGATCCAGTTTAATTTAGCTTTATCTCTTCTTATTCCAGCTTCTGATTGGATTTGAGTGCGGAGTCGTGGTGTTGTGGGATTTGAAGTCCAAGAAAGCTGACTACCGCTACAATTATGATGAGGTAACGCATTTCCTTTCACTTTCGCTCAGTATTTGTGAGCGAACCGGTTCGGTCCGGGACTTTGCCTCCCAAAGCGTGTTCGGACTTGTTTCGTTTCCGTTCGAACAACAGCTCCCAAATAGTTTGAGTCACAAAACCTGAAAGAGCAGCTTGTCAGAGGAATGGCCAACGAGAAAATAAAACAAGATTGGAAATTATTGAGCAAACGGCATAGAAACTAATTACTTCCTTTGATAATGGCCAACAGGCTTTTACATCAACACACTTTGAGGTTTTTCAATATTTTGCCTCATAACTTCGACAAACCTCGACATATTTTAAATATATTTTGTGTAATAAAGCAACACAAAGAAGTCTGAAATAGTGGCATAAAAGGGAAAACATACTAGACTTTCAGGTTTGTGGTAGCTTTCATGTTTTTTCCAGTGTGCCATGAGTTTGTATTTAGCCTCCTTTACTCTGACGCCCCGAAGTAAAAATATACTTCAACGAATTTCCTGATTAGCTAAGAGTTTACCTCTTTAAGTAATTTAATTTCAATCTAAATCCAGATGTTAGAGAACATTAGTGAAAATCATCATGAAGACACTATTTTCTAGTTTTTATCACTGAAATAAACAACTTTGAATGTCAGTTTTCTGATTTTATTTGTTTAAAAATATTATGCCTTTTTGTGTTCCTCTACAACCACTTTTGTCTGGAATGTAGTGTTATCAAAATCTGGGAGCAATGAAGTGTATGCAAGAAGATGTTCACCACCACTTATAAAAATGCCACAAACACCTATAGAGAGCCTAATTCTGACTTTCTGTTTGGTGGAACACAATGTTACACATCCTATTGATGCGTCTCTTTGTCTCTCAGGCGATTCACTCGGTTGATTGGCACCACGAGGGGAAACAGTTTGTCTGCAGCCACTCCGATGGCACTCTGACCACGTGGAATATACGCGCCCCGGCCAAGCCTGCACAGATCATCACGCCACATGGTACGAGCTGTCGCACACACATGCATACACACATACCGCATGCAGCGAGGCGTCGATTCTATAAATTTCTGAAACTGCTCCTCCTGGCTTCTAACAGGAAAGCAGCCTAAGGATGGAAAAAAGCCAGAGCCGTGCAAGCCAATCCTAAAAGTGGAGTACAAAACTACAAGAGCTGGGTAAGTGTGATGGCAGAAAGCTCCCACCCTTCCTGTGTCTGCTCGCGCTTGGATCCATATCCTGTGTTGAGAGGCACCTTTCCTGTTGTTCTGCAAAAACCAAACATCAGTTTTGAGGACGGCATCCTTATTGTAGATGGAAAGCTGGAAAGGTCCCCATCGTCGGCGTTTGTGCTCTCAGAGGTTGTGTTTTGATTATGCAATGGGTGGTGTTTCCTTATGATTAGTTGTCACATGCTTTACAGTAGTAGTGTTGGAGAAGTGGTTTAGTAAAGCAGAAAGTCAAAGAATTCCTAAAAAGTCTTAAATTCATCCATCTGAAATTGAAGCCTTGAAATGCCTTAAAATTACAAATCTGAAATTAAGGCCTTAAATTGTCTTAAAAACCATGTGTCTGAAATTAAATGTCTTAAATTCCTTTAAAAAAAAAACGTTGGTCTTAAATGCATTAATCATAGGTCTTAAATGTGATTATTTAATGTTTTAATCTTGTATATTCAATGTCCTTTTCTTTTTTCTCAAGGGAACTTCTAAACTTTGAGTTGTGCACAATGTTTTGTGACTCAGTGTTGTTGTGGCTACCGGTAACTAGATGGTAATATACCCTTGCTTGCTAGCCAGTTAGCTTTTCTTTTTCTTTTTTTTTTTTTACATTCATCATGGGTATGTGCGAACTTATCTCCAGTTGGCTGGATGATGTTCATCTTAGCCACTGGCTCATTTCTGTTTTCAATCCACGCAATTTATTTATTTGTGATTTTCTTATGTTTTCTATCATGTTGCAGGTCTTAAATTTCATTCATAATGGTCTTAAAAAGGTCTTTAAAAGTATTAAGCTTACGTTGGACAAGCATGCAAAAACCCCATAAAGAGGAAACTGACGCTTTGCTATGTCAAGGAAAAGTAACAAAAACAAAAGAAAACTTGAACATCCTCACAGAACGTGATCTAGTTCTTATCTCACTTTTTTCCTCAGGTATTTGAGGACAGGGATTAATTAGTTGTTATGATTAAAAAGTAGGATTTTCCTGAAAAAGGGGGCCAGACACTCTCAGGAGAAGGTGCAACAGTAAATTATGTCCCTCTTCACCCATTTACCACTGACACAACCTGGTCCTTTTAATATTTACAACAGTCCTATGTAACTGAGCGAACCGTAAAGTTCTTTGCGTTTTTGGCGTTACCAGGGACCCGTTCATGGTTCTGTCCGGCGGGCTGTCGTACGACACAGTGGGGAGGAGAGCCTGTTTGACCGTGATGCACGGAAAGAGCACTGCCGTCCTGGAGATGGACTATCCGATTGTAGATTTCCTAACACTCTGCGAAACTCCATATCCAAACGGTGAGTCATGCAGGCTGTCCACAGCAGACTTGCTTCATTTCTATTGAAAGTCACAGAACTTCAAACATTTATGTTCATATTTTGCTCTCATTCTTGCCAGACTTTCAGGAGCCTTACGCTGTGGTGGTCCTCCTCGAGAAGGATTTAGTTGTAATTGATCTTGGACAAATTGGGTAATAATTTACCGTCTTTAAATGTAAAAAAAGAAAAACAAAACAGAAGTTGCATTCTAGAAATGTGTATAATTTCTCTTTGCAGAGTTCGATATAAGAACACAAAAGACATGTTTTGAGTATCATTATAATACTTTTGACTTTAACTAATGACTTATGTGTACTGGTTGAATAAGTTCAACAAATAGCTTTTGCTTCAACAAGGTTTTTACCAGAAGAAAAATAACTACATCACTACAGAGACAGTGTTCTGTGATAAATTTCTAATTCTTTTCTCTAAAACAAAAAACATATTGTCTTAGTAATGCTAACCCTCTAATTGCTAAGACTCTAAAGCCAGTTTAGAAGGTGTTTTGTCATTTTGCTTTGGTTTTAAAATATTCCTAAGCTGCTGTTTTACAGCAACTGCTCACACAGTGACACTAGTTGTCAAAGTTTTAAGAGAAATCAGAAATAGAAGATTTAACACTTAAAATATGATTCAGCGAATTTCAACATCTTTCAGAAAACTTTGATCGGTGCATCTCTAACTTTCTTTCATCTGTTCTCATTTAATGTTACTTTTAAGTTACAGTTGTGTTAAAATAAAAAGAGCAGGGATCAAATATAGAAATCATTACCTTATTGGCATCTTTGACAAAGTTCAATTATCAACAAAGCCAAGCAGCATTAGATCACGCCATGCAAACTCCTAAACTACCTTGAAACGTATAGTATTTTCCTTAAGTTATTTTCACACGTCAACAGTTTTTGTTTGTCGTGACAGGTATCCGATATTTGAGAGCCCCTACCCTCTCTCCATCCACGAGTCACCGGTGACGTGTTGCGAGTATTTTGCAGACTGCCCCTCTGAACTCATTCCTGCACTTTACTCTGTCGGCAGTCGGCAAAAGCGACAAGGCTACAGCAAGAAGGTGATTTACTCCTCTTTCTTAAACGGACCTGAAATCGTCTCTCCTGTTCTAGCGTTTGGTTTCGAAGACACAATGTCTAACGGGAAGGCAGCAAGAGACAGAAATCTTGTGGCAGATACAGTAAATAATTTGGCCTGAGTCAGATGGGTAACGATCATAATTTAATCAGTTTTCTCCATTTTACAGGAATGGCCCATTAGTGGTGGAAACTGGGGCCAAGGCACACAGACTTACCCAGAGATTATCATCACAGGGTCTGTAATTATTGACCAAATGAAACAATCTGTTAGTGTTTGCCTTTCATTTCTGGAGTTGCGACTGATGTAGAGTTTCGATTTTTTTTTCTGGTTCTCTTCAAAAACAGGCACGCCGATGGCTCAATCAAATTTTGGGATGCTTCTGCATGTAAGTGTTTCTTTTTCGATTGGTCATACACACACAGTCCAAGCATAAACAAAAAACTGAACACCTGTTACTAGATTTCAGTTCACAAATATAGCTGGAACAAATGGCTAGTCAAATCAAAGGTATTTGTCTGTTGTCAAAGTAATGCTGTTTTTGCTTTATTTTAGTTTTTATTTTTAACCCAAAATGCAGGATGTGAAAATATTCACACACTCTTTTAAGACATCACCAGTAAAAGCTTTCCCACCGTTCCAACAAATTATAAAGACCCAGCTTTAAGTCTGGCCCACAAACCGTGTTTTGAGTTTGCAAAAGCTGAAATGGAGAAAGTAGACTCTGCAGTGGATAGACGAGTGGGAGTAAAAGTCCCACCTAAACGCTGTGGCTTCACTCACTGTCAACCAGTGCGGTGAAAAATAATGCCTGGGAGGTTTGTCACTCCCCACACACTCTTTCTTTTGTAAATGGCACACCTTCAAAATTTAACTGCAACATAACATAAGAGGAAACAAGATCTTTGAGAATCCACTTGAATCGGGGTTTGAAACTGGAGATTTTGTGGGAAAGTAGGGTCCCAATTTCAGACTTAAATATTCCAGAATCTGAGAGGAACAAGCATGTTAGATTTCACAAAAAAACAATTTTTTGCTTTTAAATGTATTGAGTAATAAAAAAAAGTCACCAGAAATTGTCAGATTGAGGCCTTGTTCTGGTTGTAAACAACAAAACTCATTTTTTAATCTAGTGCATCAATGACGTCATGTTTCTTTTTCTGGTCATTAGCTGTATTCCTCTCTCGTTCTCCGTTTTCAAAGTAATGCTTCAGGTGCTGTACAAGCTGAAGACTGCCAAGATGTTCGAGAGGGCCCGGGGTAAGGAGGAGAAGCCGAGCTCCGACATCGTGGACGAAGATCCGTTTGCCATCCAGACCTTGTTCTGGTGTCCGGAGAGCAGGATGCTGTGCGTGGCTGGAGTTTCTGCTCACGTCATCATTTACAGGTTCAGCAAACAGGAAGTCACCACTGAAGTTGTTCAGGTAGAGGCATGAGAACCAAACCTTTATCACTACTTTCCATTTCTGGCTTGCAGTGCCTTCTGTACTGAGGATGCTCAGATTTTATGGACACTTGGGATGCAAATAATTAATCAACTTACGACTGTTGATTTGTTTGTTAGATTAAAATTAGTTCCCATCGATTAACTGATGATGTCCGCCAGTTTGGTCGCCATCCAGCAGAGGGAGCAGCTGGTCATCCTTACGTGGAGCCAGTTGATACAGAAACAAAGACAGCGGGGCCATCCCAGAAAAAGAAACAGTCCAAATAGAGACCGGTGTGGGATACAAAATGGACTTTACGTGGTTCTGATTTGAAATATGAACAATTGTTTATCGTCTATGAAGGATTTTTGATTTTTGAGGTTCTGTTATGAACTACATGGTTGAAGTTTTAACATTCCTTCAGTAGAAATGACAGACGGTGCGTCTGCATGACCATCTCCCTGTTCGTGGGGGATTAAGTGTTTGTCATATTTTAACCTTTCAATATTTTATTTTTCTACTTAGCAACCTTGGAGGTTCCTGTTTTATTATGTATTGTAAATATGTCTAAGTTTGATAAAGACATTTTCTGTTTATTCAGTCACTACTTAACAGAGGCGACACAAAATAGTGTTAAAATCTAAAGATTTTTTTCAAATTTTTTTTCAAATTCAGCATGAAGAATTTATACATGCAGGAGAAAATTAGGGTTTCAAGAAAATGGCCTTTAGTCGATCGATGACTTACATCCTTAATACATGAAGTTACTTTTCATTTGTGTGTTTACATTTTCTTGCGGTTTATGAAAGTCATGCTTTGTAATCCTGCAAGGAAGAAAGGATGTTTTTGACACAAGATCTCCTCTTCTGTCTCGCGTTCAGCTTTTGGAGATTCGGATGCAGTGCGAGTTCAGCGAGGTCGACTCCCCGGATCCGGGGGGAGCGCAGACCCCCACCCTGCCAACCTCTGCAGCTTCCTCCAGCCCTCAGGAGGCCGAGCCCCCAAACCAGCTCACTGCAGGCGTCAATTCCTCCGACGGAGCTAGAGACAATATACCATGCCTTCAGTACGCATAGTTTTGTTTTGTTTTTTTTAATCAAAAATTCTTATTTTTACTGGATGGTCGATGTCTTTGCTGCTTAAAAAAAAAAAGGGCGTCCACAAACTCATAAAACGCAATGCAGTCATCAGATGATTCCCTCTGGAGGTCAGTGGGGAAATGATTCCGTCTATAAAGAAATGTTAGAAATAGTAAAGATGCCTGGACAGTAAAAGGCGGAATGAGGAGATTTAGTCGTGAGTGTGGCCTAACCCTGCGGGGGAGAAAAAGAGGAAGGATAATTCATGGTGGTGTAACGTGCAGCCTGCTGTCTCGTCCCGCTATGTGTTTGATGCAGGGTGCGGAGCGCCCCGCTGAAGCAGTCTCCGGGCTACCAGGTGGAGCTGGTGGTCCAGCTGGTGTGGGTGAGCGGGGAGCCGCCTCAGCCGATCACCAGCCTGGCAGTCAACTCCTCCTTCGGCCTGTAAGTGTTCACGCATCACGTCTCTGCACACACTTCCTGTGTACGTCCTGCTCGGGTGTGGAATTTGTTCTGAATTAAAATAACAGAGCAGAGCACAGCCTGAAGACCTGAGAAGTCTGGAAGGTTGATACAACTGCAGCAGATCTTTAATATGACATAGCACTGAGCAGTTCAGTCATTTAGAAACTAACTACAGTATTTATCAAACAGTACAGTAAGTTCAGTTAATTATTCAAAGTGGTGTGAAAAGTTTCTGTCTTATGAAATGTGGTATTGCATCAATTTATCTAAGGAAACGTTGTAGTTCAGAGTTGCATTTGTAAGTAATTGGAGCATTAAACTGCATGTTTGATGCGTATTTGCCCAATGATTTGGATTATGGGGTTTGACAAAATGTTTATTACTTGTTTTATAATTGGTGACGGTTTTCTTATGTAAAACACAGAATTGCCTTGTCGCTGAGATGTGTTATAAATAAATAAACCTTAAAATGCCTTAAAATCCACTGAAGTTGATGAGATGACAAAATGGGCGAAGGTTGGAGGCTCGTCTGACCCCCGGTCCTCTACCCCTCTCCGCCTCTCAGGGTGGTGTTCGGGAACAGCAACGGTCTGGCGGTGGTGGACTACGTCCAGAAGACCCTGCTGCTCAACCTGGGCATCTCGGAGCTCTACAGCCCGTCGGACCCCTGCCAGAGGCAGCCCCGCTCCCCGCGGAAACCACGCCAGCCTTCTGGAGGTGAGTGAGCGCTCCCACCTCTGTCTTGATTCTCTCCCGCTCTGTGCGCCTCGCTACGTACCGCAACACGACCTCTGCCAGAGCAGCTGCCCGAGTGTTTCTCTGAACTTGATCAGGTGGCTAGAGGTGGAGGTGGATGGGCGGAGCTGACAGTTGGCAGCTTCCCTGACTTCACACCATGAGCATGGCCCCCTGCAGTAGCTTCTCTCCCTCAACAGGGGGCATCACTTACAGGTTCTTCATCTGTTGAGTAGGACAGTGCAAAACCTGCAGAGTGGGTGCATGTTGCATCATGACCAAAATTACCTTTTGATTTCTTTATGTGATAAAAATATTACATACGCTTTACTTACGTCCCTGTTAAAAATCTTGTTGTCTACAGTCAAGATTATATATCTTTTTTTTTTTCTCGTAATAAAAAACAAACCTAAATCTAAACGCAGCAGTATAGAGGAGTATCGGATAAGTTTGAGTGCGTGTTCCCTTAAGAATGGAGATTTCTAAGATTTTCAAGAGTCTTAACATTTGCAAATCTAACTTGTTCGCCAAATAGAGTGACTGCAATCCATTCAGCCTTCATGTTGTCTGATGAAAATCAAACTCTCACGCATGGCGCAAGAGTTTGAAATAGCTCCTCACATTCTTATATAAAAAAATTGATTTGTTTTTGCTCTGTTAAAGCTTCCACACCAAGGAGGGTTTTTGTTATGGCAGCCTTTCTGACACCAATCCTGCGTGTCAAATATTGTTTCTTTAAACAATGTGACAGTGATAGTTGTTTTCATAAACACCTGACTATATGTGAGTAGAGCTATCGCATCTCAAATTTGGGGTCTGAAAATATTTATCTAGTTACAGTTATAACAGTACAAAGCTACTTACTATTGTAACTCAATCTGATACTAGTGCATCCCTTTTATTCTATTCAGAGATTAATTCAGCAGCAGGCCTCAGAGAATCTGTGCTATTTTTTTCCATTCACACTTCTAATTTTCACTCATTTTTTTGTTCTGTCTCAATGATTTTCACTGTTTTTGTTGGTCTCTTTGTGTGATTTCTGAGAAAGACATTCCAACTGCTTCGTCTCACATGTCCAGACTTTCTAGCTTGTATTCTCAGTCTGTGAAAAAACTGCGCTCCTCTCACTTCCGTAAGTCCCATTGTGTCAGATTTTTTAAAATTATTATTATTATTATTTTTCATCTCCTTCCCACACGATTGTTTTGCTCTTGGAAGCTTTCCCTCTCCCTCATTAAGATACACTCCCTGGTTTTGATTCAGAGCGGCCGCTTCAGATCTCCAAAACTCATGATTTGAGTTCTCAGCAGTGGAATGAGATGTTGCGGAGGATGAGTTTTCTTAGGCTTAAAGGTCATTTAACCAAAATCAGGTTGTGTATCTTTCAACCTAGCTTTCAGTGTTAGTAGACAAACAATACCGACCTGGTTAAATTATTAGCATTTGGTCCGTAGTTGGTGTATTGTAATAGTTGCCATCCCTTCAGCTTTTCTAATAGTTGACCCCTCCTATCAGTTGCGTCAGACATAGGATTGTTTGGGGATTTCGAAGGGATAAATTGGGCTAATTTTATTTTTCTTCCCAATCAATACTTCTGCAGGATTTTGCGACTCCAACGACGGGTCTAACAACTCAGAGGACCGATGCAAATCACCCACGTCAGGTAAACCACTTACCTAAAACCATACCAAAAAGTTTTGTGTTTTTTTTTCAAAGAAGCATTTTTCCCAAATGCTTCCATCTATCACCCAGGATCTACCTCACCCTGCAATTCAGACGATGAACGAAAACAGAACTTCATAGAGAAGGGTACCGTATCTTTCAGTGCATGCGCCCTCTTAACTCCAGCAAATCATAAATGGCTGAAGACGTCTGATTTGTCCTCTTTCCCCACCCCAAACCCTCCCCCCAAAACCTCATTTCCAGTGAAGTTAAAAAGCAGACGCTTTTCCAAGACGGTTGCCAATGACTTTGGTACTGTATATTTCACGTGCATTCTTCCTTCACTCACCGTTTCTCTCTCCATGAATGACGGCGCTCTAACCAAACTGTGCCTTGACCCTCTGCTGGTCTGTGCGTAACGTGCCAATGAAAGACAGATTTTCAGTAGAGACGTGGCTTTTTTTCTTTTTTTCATAAAAAAAATAATCTTGTTGCTTTTATTGATTGCATGACAGGATGCCTTTCAGGTTTCAGCCTTTCTTTCAGATTTCCTATTCAAATTCTCTTCACACTCTACGGATTACTGCTTGGGGATGTAATATCTGATGCTTTTTACCTGCCGTTCCCGAAAGAAAGCTGTAGAAAATCTGCCTCAATATTTTGTGTCACTAACCACTTGGATTTTGAGTTCTCTTCGATCGTCGATGCTCGCTGCATTTCCCTTTCCAGGGTTTCGATTCAGTGTGATCTTTTGGCTACCCGCTCATCTCTTTTTTTTTTCCTTCCCACCTACTCTCTGTGCATAACAATGTTCACAGAATTATAATTATCTTATTTCTCAACTGCGTCTTGCTTTGTTTGACAGTGCCGGCTCCTCTGCGATGTTTTTCTGCTTCGTCTGTATTCTGATGGCGGTTCTGAGGGTGGTTGTGGACTGCTAAGGCAACTTTTGGGGGATTCGTGTTTGGGAATGGCAACAGTCCTGGTAGCAAAAAAAAAATAAATCAGATGCTTTTTTTTCTCTCTTTTTTTGGAATATAAACACGTTTTTGGTTTGTATTCAGAATCTTGTTATAATCAAGACAATTTGGCATAAGCCCTATGCACTGTTTAGGATAAGATTTAGTATAAAAACTTGTTTGAGCTTCATGAAAAATCAACTTGATGCGGTGCATAATTGTGTTTTAGGAAGGAAAGAAATGGTTTCACAAATGTTATTTTCAAAAGAAATCCAAACATCTTTTTGCCTCCATGCGCCTTCAGATGTCACCTGGTAGCAAATTGAGTCCACATGCGTAGAAGAAGAAGAAGAAGATTGTAAAAACGAGATTGCATCTAGGCCTGCCACAAAAAGTGGTAAATCAATTAATCGCACAATAAATTAATGTCATAAGCATGACATAACGTCTGTTATGAACATGAAGGAGTCTTTATGAATGTTTATGACTGTTGTCATGAAGTGTCATTCGGTAAATAATGACACTTTTAATTCAAAGATGCACTAAAAGTTGCGTTAAAAGTTCATTAAGAGTGTAAACTTTGCATTATTCAGTAAATAATGACACTTTTAATGCAATATTTCTTTAAAACTTGCATGAAAAGTTAATTAAAAGCATCAGCTTTGCATTAAAAGCATATTTACCGAATATTTACTAACATTCATAAAGACTCCATGTTTGTAACAGGTGTTATGTTTGTCACAGTGTCATGTCAGTCTTATGCACCCCTTTTGAAATAAAGTGTTTTCTTACATTTTTATTTATTTTGTATATTTAAAATGTCTTCCGGTTCTTAAGTTAGAACTTAAAGTTTATTGATCGTCAAGGATGTGTTCTTACATTATTATGCCACGATTATTATATTACTCGAAAATTATCTCAAAGCAATGATATTGTCGTTTATTGCAGTAACTTCTTGGACGATTTATCTTCCAACAAAATTAGTTAGTTTGACAGGCCTGATTGCAGCCTTTGAACATTTCTCGGTGCTTGATTCAGTTGCTCTCATTAAAACCCGCCTCTGCATGGTGACTCTGGAGGAGCTGCAGAGATCCATCCGTCACGTAGACAGCACTTCATTGTGCACATCGTAAATCTGAAAAAAGTTGACCTATTGTTGGCGCATTTTTCAGATTTTTTAGATCCATGCATCCAGCTCCTTTTTCTTCCTGCAACTATGCACCATTTTATGTTGGTTTTATATGAGTTTGAAGTTTGAAATAGGAAATTTTGCGGCCGTGCAATGTGAAAAAGCTGAAGGGTCCACGAGCGCCTCTTGGAGAACCGAGCCTCAACAGTTGTCCTACAGTTTGTACCAAGTGATCGTTTTCCTAAATGTTTGATGCCGCAACTGTTGGGACAAGCGCCTCTAATTCCTGACCGCTGTGATTTATCTAAGCAGGTGCACAAAACGTCTCTCTTTTTAAAAATTAGGGGTATTTGTCTCTTCTTTTTTTTCCAGCCAAGATGTCGCGGAAAATTAGCTCGTCTGGTGAGCAAAAGCTAGATCAGGGTAAGCCAACAAATGAATTAATCAATTTTGCCGTTTTAACTTCTTTTCCTCCCCTTATTTTAACAGGAAATATTATTTTTTGTTTTATATTAACTTTAAAGATGTAATATATGTACATATGATAGCATTGCAGAGTGTTTGTGTGAATTTAAAAGTGCTGCTGTGTCTGCCCCGGACGCAGAGGATTCCTCCCGCCGGTGTTCCCCTCGGTTGTGTAAACGGCCATTTGGTAATATGAAAAATGGCAAGCTGACGACCTGGATGATCCAGAAGTTGAATGTGCATAGAACTAAGTCAGACCCGCACCGATGTGAGTGGACCGGTCGCGGCTTGGACTTCGGCCGGAGTGGGATAACTCGTACTAATCCCCACAAACGGGGGCTTTTCATTGTGAAAATGGATAACACGTGACACTAATCCTCTCACGGTGATCGTGTCCTGTTTCTTTTCGAGGAAGTTCGTGTTGCTTGAGCGCATGTGGCACCAAGAATCTCACTTTTCCTGTTTCCAGTTTCTCCCTCGAGAAGAACTCGTGTGAAGGGCGACATATTAGCTTTCCACCTTGCTCAGTTTTTCTGTGGAGATCCCCTTCAGTAACTTTTTTTTTTTTTAAGGAGATGATCAAACTTGTGCTTCGGCTGGAGCTTTTCACATTGAGATTGTTGGATTTTAAACAAACAAAAGCAAATTGGAACAAAAGAAAAGCATCTCAATGTCCAAAAGCCCCCTGGTCTGTCCTTAACAAAGGGTTTGCTTCATGTTGTCTGCCTGGTAATTTATAAATGAGTCGGGAGGTGTGTTTTTACAGAGCATCTGACCTGGTTTCCTTTTTGCTTGGTAACATGTGAACCAGCTTTCTCTTGGCGTCTTACTTAAATCATTTCCTAATTTTTATCTCTGCTTGGTTTTTCTTTTTTTGTTCTTCCGCAAACCTGCTAGATGGGAAGGATAACGCATTCACCCGCTCGCGTAGCTCAAGCGTGACCAGCATAGACAGAGAATCTCGAGAGGCCATCTCCTCCTTTTACTTCTGCGAGAGTTTCCCCAGGAAGTCGGACAGCCTGGCCAGCCCCTGTCTGCTGGTGGGGACCACGCAGGGCTCCGTGATGATGGTGGCCCTCAGCCTGCAGCCGGGCGGCGACCAGAAGCCCCAGCAGCCGCTCAGCTTTGCCTCCTGCGGTGAGAGACCCAACATGGGGTGTCATTCAAAAGCATTCATACCTCTTGAGCTTCATTTTATCAGAAAAAAGTCTCATACTTTACTACGTTTCAATTAGGGCTGAAACGGTGAATCAAGCTAATTAATCAATTAGTGATTAATCAATTCTTGAAATTAAACTAAATTAGTAATCGATTAATCGTCAACTGGAGTATACAGACTCAACCAGAAAGCAATTTGCTGAAGGAACAATATAATCAGAGCAGTAATTGAACCAAAGTTATCGAGAAAATTTATAAATTTTTCATTTAACATAAAAAAAACCTGTCTGTAAATATGGCAACCTAAAAACTTTCTAAATGTCATAGTTTTAAGCTTCACCCAGTCAAAATTACTGTAAAATAAATCTCCTGTTAAGCACCTTTTGCTATCTGACATGTTGAGGTTAAAGTATTTTTTTAGCTGCAGATGCATCCTGTGCTACAAATGAGCGAGTGTTTATTTGCACACTGTGTTACTGCATTACAAGCAATAAAATGTTTAAAAAAGGAATTGATTTATTGGTTTATTATCAGCTTTTAATAAATATCAATATTATATTTTTTTTTGCCAGCCCATAGGATGCCACATAAATTCAGTGCAGAAAAGCTTGGCACTACGAGGGTTAGGTCTGCAGAGAGCCACATGTAGTATGAGAAGCACAAAGCTGATCCCCAGCGCCACAAACAGGCCCTAGAAATGTCACCGTTTTGATCCCCTGGCGTGGCTAAAGCTCCCCAGAAAACGATCTGCGCTGCGGCTCCTAGCACTGATCTCAGAGCAGCATTTGGTGCGACACAAACTCTGAAGTCAGAGATGTAGAGGATTTTAAACACGGTGGCCGAACAGAAAGATCAGTCTTACCTATTGAAGCATTTGATTTCAACAAAGTTGTTAGTGTGGAGGAAAATTAATTCGGAGGGAACAAAATGAGAATTGAGAGCCACAGATGCATCTATGAAAACAAATTGTCTTCAACTAAAGTGAAAATAGGATAAGATCTATAATTTATAGAAACTATATGTATAAAAAAAAATTTATTTTCTTTTGTACATTTTGCATTACAAGTCTTAAGTGTTACTCTTAAACGCCATAAAATATCTTTTATTTGAGCTTTTGAAACCCTCTCAGTTTCTCTCTGTGCTGTGTTTTGTTGTTTTATAATCCAAACTCACATTTCCAGGCACCTTGGTCCAACTCAAAGGAGGCATCCTGACCATGGCCCTGCTGGATGCTGCAGGAACTCTGCTGCCCCCTTCCTGCGAGGCGTGGTACGACCCCAACGCCTCGGACGAAGAGAAAGAGAAAGAGAAGACCCGGAGGCGCAGGCCGGCCACGCCTCCAGCCTCACAGGAAGGCCAGGACTCCCAGTTTGCTGTGCTGTGTTCGGAGAAGCAGGCCAAGGTTTTGGCCATGCCGTCCCAAACCAGCATCTACAAACACAACATCACCGAGACCTCGTTTGTGCTGCGCGCCGACGTGGTGCAGATGGCCGGGACTTACTGCATCGCCTGTTTCTGTGCCAACGGCCACATTATGACCCTGAGGTATGCGCTGGTACTTTGCAGTTTTGATTCCTCTGATCAAAACGCCTCACCTCTCTTTGAATTTCCTGCCAAAAGTGTGACATGTTGTGTCTGGACACAGCTAATGAAGTCGTTTGTAGAAGCACCACATCCCTCTAATCATCTTTCCGCTTGCTGGTTATAGCTTGCCCAGCCTGCGGCCTCTGCTGGACATCAACTACTTGCCGCTCACAGATATGCGGATAGCCAGAACGTTTTGCTTCTCTAACTTGGGCCAAGCTCTGTACATGACCTCCCCCACCGAGTTCCAGAGGATCACCTACAGCCAGGAGACGTGCGACAACCTTCAGGTCAGGCAGCAAGGAGATAGTTTCATAGGATTGCAATTTTTGGCAAACAACTGATTGATTTGTGGAGGCAATTTTCATGAAGAGCGAGATCAGAAAGTTCTGTTCCTTTAAAATTGTATTAATGTTGGTCAACGTGGCATAATTAGTGAAAAATGATGAGTAGTTTTCCAAATAAAAGTAGGTCGTTTTTGCATTAAGCTCCCTTTATTTTAACGCCTAAAATAAATTCCAGAGCAATCAGAGGTCCCTGTTGTGTAAAAAATAAAAAATTGGACAGAAACTAGTTACATTTATTTAAATAACTTTATGGAAAGAATTTACTTTTAACTCTGCTTACACTTTACTTTTACTTGACTAATTTAATTATAACATATAAAGTTGATACTCAACTAAGTAACTTTTTGTTAAAATTTCAGAAGTTTTATGCTGAAAGAAATTGATTACAATTTTTTTTTTCTCTTTTTCTTTGTTATTTTATGAGTTATTTGTTCAAATTATTTTCATTTTGGTTCTCAAAATACCAAAATTTCCACATAACTATATTTTGGTCTGTCAGATGTAATTTTTAAATATCGAATGACTGATGTTTTCATCCGTTATGCTGTACCTGAGTCCACACCAGCTCCTCTGTGAAGCACAGCGGTGGTAGTATCATGCTGTGGGGGAGCGCAGGAAACCTGGAATGAATTCTGATGGCCAATAATTGCACTGGATTTAATTTTTTGTACTGACGGCTAAATATAAGTACCCTTTTTTGTAGAATTTTCTTTTCTTTTTTCTTCCATTTCACAAATATGCCCCACTTTGTGTTTGTCTGCTACAGAAAATCTTGGTGAAAATCGCTTCTGTAAAGTTACTTTAACTATTGAAGGGATTATTGACATTTTGGTAGGAAATTGCATTATTTCAGATCCAGGGTTGTTTTTTTGTTTATGAAGCCGACGTTCATTGCCCAGACTGAACAACTTGGGGGAGAATATATTGAAACTGATGTGCTGATGCTTTTGTCGCCCTCAGGAAATGCTCAGCGAGTTATTTACCCCCGTGGAGACGCCGGAGGCTCCGAACAGAGGCTTTTTCAAAGGCCTTTTTGGCGGAGGAGCTCAGTCTTTGGACAGGGAAGACCTCTGTGAGTGTGCAGCTTCCTTCGGCGTTACATAAGGCCGCTCTAACCTTCTACATCAAATTTACATAATACCTCCACTCCGGTCTCAGCAGTTTTCCTAGCAGTGATGCTTTCACTGCCTTTTGATTTCTCAATGGACCAGTGAGAGTTGGCTCGTTGCTTAAAGCTGCTACTAAGACGTTACCTTAAGCGCAATCAGTCACTTTACTAAAGTTTGTCTAGAGAACATATCATTCAATTTTTTATACACACTTTGCTTTTTTGTCGTTATTTAATGAAAATAACACTAATACATCTGGTGACATCACATAAGACAGTTCAGTTTTTTTTTTTGCTTGTTTTTTCTTTTTGAGTATGTCTATTTATAATCTCAGAGGGTTTTATTTGTTTTCAAAAATTAAAACTCGTCCATGACATTTAAGCTAGGATCAACTTTTATTTATTTATTTTTATGGTTTTAACTGGGATTGAAACGATTAATCAAATGAATCGTGATGAATCGATCATTGAAATAATCTTCAATTAATCTGGTAATTGATTAGTCGTTAACTGGAGCACAAAGACTTAAAAAGACTATCTGCTGAAAAAAACAACAACAATGTATTCACAACAGTAATTAACCGAATCTGTACCAAATCCATTTTAGATGGAAACACCTTGCAGTAAAAATGCATCACTAAAGAAGCTCCTGCAGTTTTATAGTTTCAGCTCCATCTGGTCCACATTCACTAAAGGAATGCTATGCTATTGCATTCCTTTAGTTGTTTTACTTAATTAAAAAAGAAATGTCACTATTTGCTCATTTTTATCTTTTAATGTATTTCTTGTATTACATGTAAAAAGGCTGATGGGTGAATGAAAAATCTGCAGAATGTGCCAATTTTTTATTTATTTATTTTTTTATATCCGATTAATCAAATAAACGTCAGTTGTTTTTGTGTCGCTGTTTGCTAGTCGGCGAAACGACGGCCGGCAAGGCCTCGCGTAGCCTGGCCCAGCACATCCCGGGCCCAGGCGGCATGGAGGGCATGAAGGGCGCGGCGTCCGGGGTGGTGGGCGACCTCGCCCGTGCCCGGGTGGCGCTGGACGAGAGAGGGCAGAAACTGGGAGAACTGGAGGAGAGGACGGCAGCCATGATGGCCAGCGCGGAGTCCTTCTCGAAACACGCCCACGACGTACGGAACGACCTCCGTTTCACCCGGTTTGTTTTCTTCTTGTTCTCCCTCTGAAATCAATCTGTTCTTCTTGTCATTTCTCTCCCCAGATGATGGTGAAGTACAAAGATAAAAAGTGGTACCAGCTCTGATGACAGCGAGCGGAGCGCTGGACTCTGTTATCATGCACACCAGTATCTCCGGGGAGCTGGGGTTCCTCCTCTTCTCTTTTTGTTTTTTCCCCTGTTTTTTCCCGCACAGGCAGGCGGGCAGGCGGGTTGGGGGTGCTCTGCTCGACAAATTCATGCTCTTTCTCTCAGCACAATAATCTTCACTCTCCATTACTCCAGTCGACAGAGACGAGAAGCGAGCTCCTTGGCTTCTCCTCCTCCGTTTCACCCGACAGCGATAGATCGACGTATATCCACACCTGTTGCTTGTCGAGCGAAGACAGGAAGAGAGGAGGGACAATTCTGCAAATATAATGTACCCTGGGTGGCCTGGCTGCACTTTCCCCGACCCCTGTTTTTCCTTTCTAAGCCCTTTATTGTGTCTGACAAACACAGCGAACTTAAACGAGGAGAAAAGTCTGACCCTTTGAAACGAATCAAGTGAACATGTGAGGTTCCACAGGAGTGACCGGGAAGGACTTGTGTTTCGTTTTTTTCTGTTCTGAATCATCCTTTCTCTCAGTTTTCTCCATCTGGAAAGGGCCTTGAAGCACTTAGAGTAGTAGAGTAGATAAATTGGACACACAGATGCTGGGTCTGTTGCCTCTTAACTGAACAAGGGCTGGTAGTTCAGTAGTTTGCCATCGACCTTTTCAAAGCTACCAAGTCGCTTTTGGGCGAGAATGTTTTCTGAGTCACTTTGGTTTTTATTTATGGTAGAAAAATATTTTGGGATTGAAGATTGTGTGTTGGGCATTAAAAGTTAAGTGAGCAAAAAAAAAAAAAAAAAAAAAAGTGCTAAAAATGTTTACCCCTAATGAAGAGTTTACATCGTTCTCTAACAAATGAGTTGAGACTGTAAATCCCCCGAGTGCTGTAGTCAGATCTGGTGACACGCTAAACAAAGATTGTTGGTAGTTTAACAAAATTAAATGTTTTGTTTTTGTTTTGGTTTGTTTTTTTTTAGAAGTGAACCTTTTTTTTCATCCTGAAGATGATTTTTGTCGGTTGTTTTTTTTTTTTTTCGATGCATATGGAAGAAAAAGCGTGTTTCTCTTACAGCACAATGGAAGTGGTGATGCCGTTTGTGTTGGTAGACATGACCGAGCACAGTGACGTGCTCCACACAGTGCCACAGCTCGTCTCTCTATGAACTGCTCTTTTAAACAGTTCAAAACATCTTTTTGTTTTTGTTTGTTTGCCTTTGCCTCATGAATCGTGAGCGCTAGCCTCTAGCTATGTGTACGCTACTTGCGAAAGTATTCATCCCTCCTGAGCTTTTCCTCATCAAAGAAGAGTGTAGTTGTGAAGGTTTGGGAGTATTTTTGGATGGTTTTCATGTTTACGAATTCAAATCTGGAAGTTGTGGTGTGTTTTGGTTTTCAGCCCTGTCTCTGTCATGATTTTTGTGGTGTGTTTGTTTTTTAACATCTTGCCACAGAGTTTCGACGTTGACTCGATCATTCTAACAAAGCATACAGCAAACCTTTGACTGTATGCGTTGGCTCGTCGTCACTCTTCGCCACAGAACCCCGTTGCAGCCTTCGTTCAATACTAAAAGTCCCGCAGCATGATACTCCCACCACCGCTGTGTTTTTAGGGTTTTTGACTCCAGTCTGCTGGAGCTTCTCCACAGTTGCGTCCCCGACCTGTCCGTTCTCTTTTTTTGGTCTTTGTGATATTTGTTTGCAATCACAGATCAGCCATATTTTATTCCAAGCTTCAACTGCACACAGTTCCACTCCATTTGCTAATTAGGTGACTTTGGTTGCACTTTATATTTAGTGGTATCAAAGAAAAAGGAGGCTGAACAGACATTTTTTCAGATTTTCATTGAGAACAATGAAGTTTGACACAGTGAAGTATAAAAGAAAAGTTCCAAGGGGTATGAATACTTTTGCTAGGCGTTTGTGAAAATGCCTACACGAAGGAATATGTTGTAGTATGGCCGCTATGTTGATGCAGTGCATTACATCAAATCTCTACAGGTTTCATTCAGTTTTTGCTGGAGTGTTTTTGTGTGAAAAGTCTTCAATCTTTTTGTTTCCTTTCACAAACTGCAAGGATCTGCTGCTGTTAGACGCTGACATAGGAATTAGCAAAACGTCGTCAGGCCAAATCGCTGCCAAATGTTGTAAATATCGCGACGGGTTGACGCCAATCTGAGCGCGCGAGCTTCGGCAACACTGTAAGCTTGCGGCCATGTTGTTTTCTGACACCAAAGAGTTACCTTTATTTCACAGAGTTGTCTTTATTTATGTATTTTTTCCCCCTCCGGAATACTGAGAGCGTATTTTGACACTTCGTCAAAGTCTACTGTGTCCACGAAGGAGAGCAGACTGACTTTTTTGTTTGTTTTTTCGTGTAAGCACGACACTTTTCTCACCGTCTCAATCTGCTTTGATTATTTTATTTGGTTCATAAAAGTGAGCAGCGCGAGCTGGAAGGGTTTTTTTTCCAAACTGATTGATCCACCGCAGAGAAAAAATCCAGAACCGTCGGCTGGAAGAGACTGAAATGTCTCAACCCTGCGGTGGATTATGTTTTCAAAGAAACCCTTCACTAGTCTGGACAGCTGGTTTTAATCTACTCCACTTTATACTACTGAGATAAACCCATGTGGAAGAGCAAAATATGTGGGTTTTGCACTATTTTCTGTACTCTATAAAATTTTGCTATGATTTTTAATGTGTCCCATTTTCGTTTTCTTTTTTTTTTTTCTTTTTTTGGAAGGACCAAAACGTCGTAAACTTGTGCTTATTTATATCATTCACTGATTGATAATTTTTTTTCAGTCTCAGATTTTGTTCATTATTAAAGAAACTATTAAATATTTATATTTTAAAACAAAAAGAATATATATATATAAATATATACTTTTATTTCAACAATCTAATAAAATAAATACCTTTATGTCGTTTTGAGATGGAGGAAGTGACGTTTATGTCCAACCGATGGCTCTTCATAACGCCTCGTCATTCAGAAACCATTTTCCTGTCCTCTTCTGCTGGGCTGCTAGGTCCTTCCCACAAGAACTGTGGCCTCGACTTTGAAAGTGCTTCAGTTTGCAACTTGTACGTCCTAAATGGTCTCTTACTGCACATTGAAGGATGCATGATATTACGTGTTTACAAACTTGAAACGACCATGTATTATCCCTCTTAGAGATCGTCTGTTCTGGCATTTGTATTTAGCTCCACGTTGAACAAAAATCCTGAAGTTTCCGTTTCGCCTCCCTCATCCGGCCATGCCAGTGGTGCGAGGGGTAGAGGGAGGGGCTGAGGGATGATATATATATATATCTCATATATATATTATTTTTCTCTCTCTCTGGTATATTTGTTAATTTTCCTGTTAAGGTCACTGTTTGCTTCAGAGAACCTCTCGCTTTCCCCCCTTTGCGCTGTAGAAACGCGTCCCGCAGTCGAGCACCAAGCCGGAGAGCTCTCGCCATACTTCCTTCCTTCCATCCATCTATTTATCCATCCAGCCATCCATCCATCCGTCCGTCTTCTGGGATGATGAACATCTGTGGAGTTGCAGTATTTTGTTTGGCAAAAAAAAAAAAGTTTTGTACAGTTTTATTAAAATCAATTTCACATGGATGTCTGACTTAATCTGCTGCCACAAACGATTTAGACTGTAGATACAGTATATATAGATATCATTGTGCAATGTAAAAAAAAAAATAAATGTAAAACCCAACGTAACATTTGTCCTGTGCTTTCTGTTCTTCTGTAGTCAATCATTTTATTGATTGAGAGGTTTTTGACACTCTTCAGGTCACAGTTCCAGTTGTGGGCTGTTTTGTCCAAAATAAAACACACACACAAAAATTACAAAACTTCTAATTTTCAAAGAAATTACGTTTATTTGCCTCACTTCTTCTGTGGTTAGATATTAAACATTCTCCCCTGATATTTTTTAGACTTCATCATGTCGCCTTTTAAGAAATGTCAGGTTTGACGTGTATCTGGGCTCCCATTAAATTATTTCAAACCTTCTTTTATCCACAACTTGTCCAACAGCTTCAATCATTTTAAGAACTCTAATCCTTTGATTTCCTGCTTCTTTTCCTATCAGAAACACATTGACTGAATCTGCCTGGGACAAGAATTGTTTTGGGCTCAAATGAATTGGAAGAGAAACCACACTCTTGGGAGAGAGTGAAAATTTTACCACTTCTTGAAAATAAGTGCAAATTATTATTACTCTTATTTTTAATCCTTTTAATTTTCGACCCTTTGGTTTGATTTGAGCGTTTTTAATCTTTATTTTAGTCTGTTTAATTGGACGCGCTTCTCCAGCAGGCCTGCAGGTGGCAGCAGCGCTCACCGCGCTCTGCGAGCAGCAGCATCTCCACTCGGACTGAACTGTCCGAGCGAGCGGCGGGACGGGAAACTTGAACCGCGGCTTACGTGGGGAGCAGAGCGGGCTGAGCTCTGCGCTCTGCTCGTCCGGAGCTTTTTCTTTCTCCTTGTCACAGTGCTGTGTTTGTCACAGTGTTGTGTTTGTGCTGCTGGATGGAGCTCCGCGTCTCTCGCCGCCGCCGTGGATGAAACAAAGAGGACGGACGGACGGACGGACGCGGTTCCGGGGGGAAACGTCCCCGCGGTTTGTTCCCGGGTTGAGAGAAAGTATCAACTTGGAGGTAACTCGCTGGTTGTGATTTGGAAAAAGTCTGAAAGCGGAAAAACTTCGCCGTGTCGCCTGAGATGCAGCCTCGCGCTCGTTCGGACCGCGAATTCACCTCGTTTGAACGCTTCACGTGACGTCACAGGTCATTAAAGCGTGAACCTTCAGCTGGGTACCTGACCTGAGCGCCTAAGGACTCCAGGTAGCGGCTTTTATTTAATTCTCTGAATGCTTCAAATATGAGTTTGCTGTGCTTTCTGAAACTTCTCAGCAGATGTGCCTGATTTGGAGAGCTGAACCTGGTTCTGTTGGTGTTGCATGGACCACTCAGCTGCACTGCCAGGGGGAGATGATGATGATGATGAGTATGAGTATGAATTGAATTAGCCTTGTTAATCCTGTCCTAAGATGAGCCAGGGGGCAAACCTCGTCCTCCAGTGGCTCTCAAAGCTCCACCTGGCCCAGTACGTTGAGTCTTTCCTCGACAACGGCTACGACGACCTAGAAGTCTGCAAGCAGATCGGAGAGCCGGACCTGGACGCGATCGGCGTCCAGGTCCAGCACCACAGGCACCGGCTCCTCACAGCTGTGCAGGAACTCATAGAGGAGGACAGAAGGAGAGCACCTGGCTACTATTTCACCTTGGAGCCTCTGGAGGCTTCTGCTTGTCACCACTCTGACAGGGTGCGTGACCCGGGGTCACTGGGGTCACACGCGCAGACCACAGCCGTACACCAGGCCTCCTGTCCCGGAAACCACAATCCGAGATTCACAGACTGCAACGACTTTGTGACTTATCCCAAGCTGAAGCTGAAGGTGCTGATAAGAGACAAGCTGGCGAAAGATGGAATCAACCTGGGACAAGCACCTTACACCCACAAGGTAGGGAACTGTCACCCCGTGTGTTTCGCTCTTTACTCCGACTGGACGCTGGCCCGTCGGAAGCTGTCTCTCTGAGTTTAATATGCTCACTTTGCTGTGTGTGTGATGAAGAGTGTGGCGAATTCCTTTGATGCTGCTGACGTCCATTGATTCCTCTTTAGGGCTCTTGGGGATGCGTTGCTGTCTTAAGCAGAGCTCTGCAGGGATTCACCGCACTGTTAATGTACTCAGTCTTTTGAAATTAGGCTTCACTGACTTGATTTATTTACACATTTCTACTCCCTTCTGATCTTTCCTGCACATGTTTTAGATGGAAGTAAACCCACTTCCTGCAACGACGACCATCTTAGGAGTTTTTTTGTGCCTCATTTTGTGGAGGAGAAGGTTTAGAAACTATTAAAATCTTGAAAAGGTTGGACTTGTTGCATTCGGTGAACAAACATGCAGAACATTGATGGCTTTGTTGAACATAAGCCGATATGGTATGGTTGATTACGGGCAAGTTTCCAGTCAAATCTCTCAATATACCATCTTAAATTTTCCTTCTTCGACTGGATTTTTTGTATGACTCATCAGTTATTGCTTTTGTTCATTTGATTGAATTACTATTGTTTTAGTTTAGATTCTTGGTGCTGAAATGTTTTGCCACAAAGTTAAAGTCTGCAAGCTCTTCTTTCAGTAGAAACCGGGAAGGTGCATAGGAAATGCAGTTTTAATGCAACATTACATGAAAATATTTTACAATCATTTATAATTTTACAAGGTTGTGTTTTCCTTAATTATATAATTGCACAAGTAGGAATTGCAGAATGAAATCAGCTTAATGGAAACTTTGACATTTTGAAACAACACACCGATAAAAAGTTTTGTCAGGATGTTCGGCTTTATTGAAACTAGTGTATTTCGCAAAACGGAAACACTTTTCTTTTTACTTTACACGAGTCACGTAATCAACAACCGAATGTCACTACTGACGAAAACGACGAAGAAAATCACAGGAAGTGTTAGGAGGACGATGATGCCACTTGTTTTTTAACCCTTTATATGTCCTGAATTTAAAATTTCCACAAGGACATTTTTGCGTATTTTAATTGTACGGAGTTCTTTTAAATGTTCTGAGTAAATGTATATTTCCCCATTTATCCATAACAACTTGAACTTTCAATGACGAGCAAGTTATTTTCACAAATCACCGTCTATTGAGAGAGCGTCCCTCAGATCAATTTCACTTCCCGCTATGGCGGGAGATAAATTACCGTAATAACCCGATGTTGGTTGGAAAGCGCAACGTCTCCCCTTTCAGAAACCGTTTTCCAGATAGCGCAACGTGTGGCGGAATTACGGTACTGCAAATTTGGCTGGATCGTCGCCGCTCCTTTTAGGACTCAGAGGGTTTAATGATTCATCACTTAAATTTATTATTGTGTCTCAAATTTAGTGGAAATATTGCAAGTTTGAAATTGTTTGTTTTTTGAACATTAGCGGAGTATCAACAAAATTTTGCGCACATTTGGAAACGCATCTATACTGTTGTTCAGTAGTTATTGCAGGAGGGTCAGCAGGACCAGGAGGTTTGTAGTCCAGGCCTGTTTGTGGTGTTGATCGTTCTTCACCCCCTGCAGATCTAAACTCAGTCACTGTGATTGTCAGAGTGTTTGTTTGTCTGTTTGTTTGTCTCGTCTGTTTCTGTGGCTTCGGCCTCTGATGAAACGTTGACTTGTTCATGGCCTGCTTCCCCCTCTTGACAGCTGCCATAGGTTTTATCCCCTGTGACCTCAAACAGGTTGCATCTAGTATAGAAAGATGCATAGACAGCTTAGTGTGAGGGAAAAATACTATAATCCACTAAAGGCTTTACACTATACTTGCAGCATAACCAGCAGCAATTTATAATTTGCTTGGAAATGGCAGATGTTTGCTTTATATGGTCCGTCTACTGAAAGCGTTTCTTGTGTCATGATCCACTTCCTGTAGGACCGGCTGGTTCGTGTAGATGCAGAGGATAGCTGTTGCACTCAGGCTGTGATATACTCAGAGGACAGTCTGTGGCCATCCAGGTGAAAAGAGGAGGGACAGGTCCAGCTTATTTTCAACAGAGTGTCTCTGACTCTGAGGAAGGCAGCACTGATTAAACTCTGGACGCTTCCTCAGAGAAAATGGGTAACGATCGCTGCAATCTGTCCAAAGTGTGTCTTTTTTGGCTGTACAGTACCTGACTGTCGGGATGAATCTTTACCAACTAGCCATGTCAACTGTGACTGAAGAGTATCTCTACATTTTCAGACTTTATGACTGAGCTGAACACAAAACGGGTTTTGTTCGCAACCAGACTGTAATGCCCTAGCACAGTTTTAACCAGAAATAAAACGCATAACCAGTTTCGCTCCTGCTGTCTGACATTAAAGTATGCAATACGTTTCCTGTTTTAGGTCAGTTTTACCAAAAATTAAAAATGAGGTTTTTTAGAGTGCTAAAAAAAAACCATAATGTAGTATGAATTTAAATATTTATGAAAACCCACTTGGGGATAATGCTTTGCACGCTACAAATAACTTAGTTTGCAACATTTGAGCTGATTGGATGGAAACCAGTGAGCGTATTTTGAGGTAACAACCCGATGACAGAATAAGTCAAGACATGTTTTGATGAAAAGTGTTCATATTGGCCCCAGATCAAAATAATAATAATAATAAATCACTTTATTATTTATGTAGCATCTTCCAATGATGCCTTGAATTGACCCAAAGTGTTTTACAAGATAAAACAAATAAATACAATAAATCAGTGCTCCTTGGAAGACACAATTTTTAAAGAAAAGTCAAATGAAATATAAAAATACTAAATGTTGAACATTTAAAGCCCTACAAAAGCATAAGACTTGCAGCTGCTAAGTGAGTGTTACCATTCAAAATCGAACATGTCTGAAAACCCGCTCAGCAGGGAAGAAGCCATTTCAACAGCGGTAAGATTAGTGTGTGAGCAACGCGGTCTGCAAACCCGACTCGGTTACACCAGTTCTGTCCGGAGTAATGAGCCAAACTTCCAGCAAACAATCATGATGTATGTGGGGGACAAATGTAACCGTTATCCCCATCATGCATCTTAAGAGGGAATTCAACCAGAAACTAAACAAATGCATAAAATCTGCTCAGTTTGAAGAGCGTAAAAGTAAAAAAAGTCTCTAAGATGATGT